GTGTTTGGGGCCTAGGACAAAACTCAGAGAGTGATTCACTTTCTTGCTTCCTCCTTGAAGTGGGAACATAGCTTCTTTGATTCAGAACATGAGTAAATGAGGCCTAAAAGAAAAATGGCAGAGATGGAGTTTTTCTAAAATGGAGTCCCTTCAGCTTTATTACTTTAGTTGGTTAGGTTTTGATTGTTAATAAACTAGAGCTCATGAAGAAGTTTTAATTACATTTTCCTTCATTTGAATAAACAGTAAGAGGAATCCTAATTTTTGAGACCAAAAGTAAGAAATTTTGTCCTGATCAGGCATCTGCAAATGATTAGTTTGGAATTCTTTTCTGGGGAAAGAAAGCCATTTCTGATTTTCTTTTAATTCTAGACTAGAGAGGTAATTGATTTAGCAGCATACAGTATACCAAGCCTTTCTTTAGTTTAAGAACTTATTTGTAGCTGTCAGTTGTTCCATATTAACTAATTTTTTTAAGCAGTCATTTTTTGCTTTTTAGGAAAACTTTGTGACTTTGGCTTGTAGTTTCCTTCTGCCTAATGTTTTATAGGAATAATTCTGTGAAGTTTTTCAACCAGTTTTATTCTGTAGGTGTTAAATATTCAGATGTGGATTATGTATACATCTTGTTTCTTATTTATATTCCGGCTTTTGAACTGTGTTGTGTCTTATTCACACCTCCTGTAGAGTGCCTGAGGAATAATGAAGAGAAAGTGAAACAGTCGGTTTCCTTATTCATTAACAGCTCTTCTGAAGGTTTAACATTTAAACTTTTGGCTGGAGGGCATGGAGCTGGCTGGTTCTTTGATTTCATTTTATCCTACCTTTCCCTTTCTCATAAATGCAATGGATAAATGACTCTAATATTTTTCTTTTCAGATGAATTAAATTTTGACTTTGTTAAACTGTAATAGGCTTGCCTAATTCATTAAATACCACCTTCTTAGAAATGACTTACTTCCCCTCATTCCCCCAAAACTACATGCGGAGACTCTTGTAATCACAAGAGAAAGTAAGTTGTAACTTAGAAAATAGTCTTGCTCAGGGCCCCTGGCTGGCTCAGTTGGAAGAGCAGGCAACTCTTGATCTTAGGGTCTTGAGTTTGAGCCCCACGTTGGATATAAAAATTACTTAAATAAATAAACTTAAAAAAATATTCTTGTTCAACAGACAGTTGAGATCTGTGCAGTTTGCTTCATTGTATGATTTGGACAAATTTTATTGATAATGTATTCTTTTTTTTTTTTTAAAGTAAGCTCTAGGCCCAATGTGGGGCTCAAACTCAGGGCCCTGATGTCAGGAGTCATATGCTCTATTGACTGAGCAATATATTGATAATATATTCTTGATTTTTTTTTACACATTTATATAATTTATATATATATGTAAATTATAAGTTTAATATATAATACAAATATATATACATATATATAAAATAAAGATCTAAGGCTTTTTTTCACATCAGTTTCTACACTAGACAGAGCTGACTGCTAGTGTGCTAAAAATGATGTCTTTGTAGAAAAACTTGACTTGAACAAAAATTCCTGTTAAGTGCTTATTGAACTGCTAAGGTTGACACTGAAGGGCTAGGTCACTGACAGAGCCAATAAAGCTATGCTTTTCTTCCCTTTTTAAAAAGTCAGATTATTTTCGGGGTGCCTGGGTGTCTCAGTCGTTTAAGCATCTGCCTTTGGCTCAGGTCATGATCCCAGGGTCCTGGGATTGAGCCCTGCTTTGGGCTCCCTGCTCAGCAGGGAGTCCACTTCTCCTTTTCTCTCTCTCTCCCTCTGTCCCTCCCACTGCTCATTCTCTCTCTCTCTCAAATAAATAAAATCTTAAAAAAAAAAGTCAGATTATTTTCATATTCTTTGTTCTAACAACCACCAAATGTTAGTATTTATCCATGTTTAAGATTTATGTTTAAAGTAGAAAGTCTTCAATGGAAAAAACATTAATTTTGCCTTTCTCAGAGAGTAGGAGTTCTATAGATGTACACAAATATTTGTTTTTAAATATTAGCAGGTCTCATTTCTAATTAAAAGTCAGAAAAATTACAGGCAGCTTTGATTTTTATAACAATCATTGAAGAGGAGCTTGCTAAATAAAAACTTTTTTGTTGACTTGTAATTCAGAATAATATAATTTTTAAATATATCTTTTCTTAATGTCTTCTAGAAGTAGTTACAAAACTAGGGAGGAGAAATAATTTGCAAATTGATTCTCTAAATAGTTAATAGGAATTCGGAGTTAATCTGTCAACGTTTGGGTTTGTCTCCATAGCTTACTATCTGTATGATGTTGGCTGAGTTACTTAACCTTTCAGAGTGTCTCTACAATAGTGGGGATGTTAATAATAGTACCTACCTCATTGGAGTTGTTAGTAGCTAAGTAGTTGTTAATAGATAACTTAGCATAGATGTAGCAAAGTGCCTTGCAGATAGTAAGCAATGAAATATTAGCTGATTGTTTTAGTACTAGCATCATCTTTGAAGAACAACCTAACCTTTTTTTTCTTACCTTGGTAATAGAATGTATTAGTGTGAAAAACTGTATAGTCCTAAGTTTAATTTGGGAAGAAAAAGTCAAATAAGTATGTTCCTTTAATAAAGAAAAATTCCTTTGCCTTTGAACATGGTGGATTTTTTTTTTTTTTTAAATCTGTAGTTGGGTTAAGGTAATGAACCCAGATTTACCTGGCCTGTCTGCATACACAATTATAGAATATGGGAAGCTTTTTAAAGACTAAAGGACAGGTGATCTGTGCTTTAAGGAAGACTTTTTATAAACCCGTTTTGATACTAAAATCTATAACATTTATATGGTATTAAACTTTTAGGAAATACTAGCACAGTTTAGTCTCTTGGAAATTGGATGATATAATTTATTTTCATTCTGAACATTTTTCAGCTGCATGATCTAATCCGTAAACTCTTGATTACATTTGCAAAGCTTATGTGTCTCCCTAGCACAGGAACACACTGGGCATATTCCTACTCCAATAGTCTGTACTTTTTGCTTTCTTTGCCTAGAATCCTTTCATTCTCATTGTAGCCCATCCTTGGGGCCCTCATGGGGCAATCATGACTCTACAGAAGGGTTGTCTACTTTTGAAAGATGTTCTTTCCTTTATCTAAAATGTCACTCTCCATCCTTATGCATTTTTTCCTCATTACAAGGTATTATATTACATACTCTTGTTTATTTATTTTTACATGACTTTCCCATAAGAATAAGAGCTGAGGGCAGGAACTTAGTTTTACTGCTAATTTCCACTGTGTATGATATAGTACAGGGCCTGGCATTAATAAATACTTTTTAAGTGAATGAATCAATGAGATTGTTCAAGTTAAAATATAGTTTTACTGTATAGATGGGGAGAATGCGTGAGCCAATTTTTAATATTTATTTTCTATGAGATATTTATGCTCATGAAAAAATGAACCATTTAAAAAGATGAGATTTATTATTTCCACCCCCCCCCCCCCCCAAGAAAAAAACCCCAGCAGGATTTCAAGTTTAGAGTATTTTGTACATAGTATGAGATATCAGTCAAGAGGCCTAATTGAGAACACCAGCTCAGTTTATAATAGCAGCAAGACTGCACAGTCGTTTAACTGCTCTGGGTTCATTTCCTTACCTTGTTTCTTTTTAGGTTCTATCTCAGTGCCTGGTACATAGTTAAGGTAGTCAATAAATGTTTTTTGGGTGAATGAATTAACCTGTAAAACGAGTAAAATCATGTACTGGGTCCTAGTTTCTCAAAGTATCCTAAAGACCCTAGAATAAAGCTTCTGGAATAAAATGGATCAAAGAAATTTGTTAAACTCTATTCCATTGATTCTCAAAGTTAAATATGCCTCAGAGTCATCTGGAGGGCTTATAGTCTTTTAGGTTTACCCTCACACCTCCGTATTTAAAGTAGGGTAGTGAATTTCTAACAAGTTCTGAGGAGGTAGGGAGATGTGATGCTGGTTATGCTGGTCCTGCTGGGACCACACTTTGACAACTTTTGTATCTGTATTTCAGTTGAGGTGATTCACACTGACCTATTGAAGGTTTAAAGAAGCACTACTTAAGAAGGGGAAGCTGTTTAACTCTTAACTCAGTATTTCTAAAACTTATTTGACTTTAGTACCCATTGTGTGTGTGTGTGTGTGAGAGAGAGAGAGAGAGAGAGAGAGTGTCATCTGTCTTATCACATTATACCCAATGTCTGTGAACATCCTTGGAACTATTTTTGTGTGGGTCCTACTTTCAGAAACAAAGCCAGCTCACATCTGCAGTGTTTTTCACATGTAAAATGATGATTTTGCTTGTTTGTTTTGTTTTTGGCATGCTGGGGTAGGTGAAAACTTAATTATTATTTGGCATGTTAGGGCAGGTGTTAGTAGTGAAACTCTCAGAAATTGAATCCTGTTGCACAGATGGGAGATAATATATTCGTGATCTGCATGGAAACATTTATATACCTTTTTGATTTTTGCTGACATAAATTTGGGATAAATGTAAGGATGTATATAGCAAGCAGAGTTTCACGAAAATTGAGCCCAAAATGATGAAATGATTTCTCTCTCAGTACTTTTTTTAATCTTTTATTCATATTTCTCTTTCTGCATGTCTGTTTTTAATCTGCCAAACACATTTTCATAACTTCAGTTCATGGCAAAATTAGGAAGTAATATTTTATCATGAGAATTGTTTTCTCTAAAGTCTCAGCTAGTGTTTCTTTTCTCTAGTTGTTTTTTGAAATGTAGGCTAATCTTGTCTCCCACTATAGCATTCTGTTTTGCATGCTGGATTTTGTTGACTTCCCTGCATATTTTAAACATGGTTGTACTTATTCTGGTCTTCTTAGAGTAATGGATATAATAAAAGATTTCGGTAATTATCAGAAAGGGGATATTTGAGAAAGAAGTGATGATTACAAACTCTTCAGATATTAAATGTAGCACAGAGAGTCTTCAAACTTGAACTTAATGGAGTACTTTATGTTCTCCAAGGCTGTGGATCTTTCCATTGATGAGTCCAGCTTGACGGGAGAGACAACACCTTGTTCTAAGGTGACTGCTCCTCAGCCGGCTGCAACTAATGGAGATCTTGCATCAAGAAGTAACATTGCCTTCATGGGAACACTGGTCAGATGTGGCAAAGCAAAGGTAATTTTTTCTCTTGTTTTGAAAGTAGCAGTTTCTTTGTTTTCAACCCTTTTTAAAGTTCTATTTGGTAATTTTATGTCTCTTTTTAAAAATATATGACGAAGGGGGGGCACCTGGGTGGCTCAGTCATTAAGTGTCTGCCTTCGGCTCAGGTCATGATCCCAAGGTCCTGGGATTGAACCCTGCGTTGGGCTCCCTGCTCAGCAGGAAGCCTGCTTCTCCCTCTCCCACTCCCCCTGCTTGTGTTCCCTCTCTCGCTGTGTCTCTGTCTGTCAAATAAATAAATAAAATCTTTAAAAAAAATATATGACGAAGAAATGACAATTGAACCTAACCCATAGCCACTATTTGTGAGACCAAGGCGCCTATGTCCCTGAGGTGTAATATGTCCATAGTTCTGCCGTTTGCCAGATAATGGAGCCTTAAAAACATAGTCCTCAGTATCTGTTCTTTTTTTTTTTTTTTTTTAGATAGAAACAGCGGCACATGGATATGTTCATTACTAGCTAAATAAAAATTTAATTTATGATGATGGTACTGGCTATCATATTCTGAATATATATCACTCACTGATGGATTTTAGATATTTTGTTTCCTGGATTCTAATACTTCACAAATATAAAAGACATGATTCAGTAGCATTTGAGGGGAAAAAGAAAATACATTAAATGTCTCTCTTGAGTATAAGATAGTTTTGAATTTCAGAAATATTGATACAGACAAAGAATGGGCCTCAGAATTGGGTCAAGGCTTATATAGTAAGGCATAAATACTAGTGATCTATAGTAATACCACAAAGTTAATTTGCTAAGGGAACCTTGGATATGTGTGTCAGTCATCTTGACTGTGGGTAAGACTTTGGAGAAAGTGAATGAGAGGTTTTTGTTTTTTTTGCTTGAGAGAGGTGATTCCATTTGAATGTAAATGTATTTTCCTGTTTTTCCCTTTAGGGTATTGTCATTGGAACAGGAGAAAATTCTGAATTTGGAGAGGTTTTTAAAATGATGCAAGCAGAAGAAGTAAGTACTTACTTTGTTAATGATGTTTTAATTTCAAATCTGAAATTCTCTATTACAAGTAGAGGAACAGAAAGTATTGGTGGATTATTTTATGTGCTATTGAAAGTAGTATTTTATTCAGAATATCACTCAGTTGTCTGTGTTTAAAAACATAATTGGAAAGACTGTATTTGAAAAGGCTTGACTTGACATTGTTAATATGCTAAAACATTTTGATATTCATTGTTTATAGGAGAAAAAGGTTTATAGCCAATTATTTATAGGTCCTATTCTTTTTAGAAAGATTAATTTTAAAAATCACTAAATGGTATATTTGTCTTCTACCAAAATTCCCAACTTTATTTAATTCCAAGTAATGGGGGGAAAAGATTGTGAAGTAAAATAATCTGGAAGATATTCTTGTTTAAGGATATTGAAGAATAGTTCTCTCATTGAAAATACTTTCTTATAAAAAAGAAGTTGCATTCTACCTATGTCATATTCTCCCTGAGTCATCTGGATTTCTCAGGTAACCTGCCAAGATCCCAGTATGTGATGCAGTATATAAAACCATTCCAAGAAGCTTGGCAGTGAGGGAAGTGCTAGAGAAGGGAGTTGGCCAGTCAGGGAGCCAGCTGGAGAAAAAGACTTGGATTGCGAGCTTGTTTGTGGATACAGAAAGGAGAAGATTGGAAAAGTGAGGGGCAGTGAATGGTAATAAAGTCCTGGAGAAGCTGGTAGGGAGAATAGATTTCTTCTCAAAAACAGGTATGGGGAGCATGGACCTTTTAAATAAACAAGCTTTTAAAAGTCTCAGCCTCAGTTTCCTCAGTAAAGGGAGTCATACTGATCTTAAGGGAGAGATGTGTATGTCATGGGTATGTTAAGAGCTAGCATGAATATGTGAAGCACTTAGCAGAGTCCCTGGCACCTATTTTATTTTACTAAATTTAGCTCATTGTAGTGACACTCTTCTCCAATTTGTCAAGGCACCAAAAACCCCTCTGCAGAAGAGCATGGACCTTTTAGGAAAACAGCTTTCCTTTTACTCCTTTGGTATAATAGGTAAGAGAGGAGTGAGTATGTATATCTCATCTGTTTACTTAGGTTTGTGTGTGTGTGGGGGGGGTGGTAAGGCAGTTTAGATAGCTGTGTGAATTTGTTTATTCATTTAATTAATTAAATTTTAGCTTACTACTACTTTTTAAAAATTATAAAACCAGCCCCCAACCATTGTCCTTTTCTACAAAGATAAATTAGAACTCCATGTAATTCCTATAATCAAGGAGCATTTCTATAAACATTTTTGTATTTGTCTTTCTAGTTTTCAACAAAATGTTAGTAATGTTTTATGGACTATTTTTCCTTTTTTGTTTCACATTTTCTTCATAAGCATCGTGTCATTAAATAGATGCTCATTGAATTGATGTCATGAAATAGGTGGTTGTATAGTACTCCATTATATGGGAAAAAAATATCTTAGACCTCTTGAAGACATTTCTATGTTTTTTGAGTTTTTAAAAATTACGTAAATGATTCTTCAGTGAGGATATCTTATTAAATTCATAAAAGTAAAATTATTGGGTCAAAGAGTATCCATGTAATTTTCAAATTTTTGGCATATTTTTAAAGTTTTTTGTTTATATTGCCAAATAATACCTTTCATCAGCAAGACAGAGGTATTTCTCTTCCAGCACCCTTGCCAACTTTGTTGTCATTAACAGACAAAAGACTTCTCATTATTTTATTTCACAGTTCATTATAGAAAAACAGCACTCTCGTCATATGTGTTGGTCCTTTTTATTTCATGACCTGCCAATCTGTCTTATCCCTTCTTCTCTTGTGGCTTGAGTCTCAGGTTGGTAACAGCTCTTTGTACAATTAGGATATCCATCCTTTTTTTATGTTTTTTCCCTCCAATTTTTAAATTCCCTTTGAGGGATAAATATAATAAACTTGGTACGGGAGAGAGAGTAATTGAAACATCTTCTGATATAATTGTCCTATTAATCTCTGCAGTTATAGTTTCTGTCTTTGTTCAGTTCATAAAGGCTATCCCAACCTCATGTTGTGGAAAGTGTTTATGTTTATATCTATTTAAACATCAGTCAACTACTTCAGTTATTATTTTTGACACTTAATTTTACTATTTAGAATTTATTTTAGTATAAGACTTAAGGTAGAGTTAATAACATTTTTACTCAAAGGTTAATTATCCCAATACCTTTAATTCTGTAGTCCATTGTTTAGTCACTGAGTTGAAATGACATCTTTATCATACATTAAACATTTGAATCAATTTTGGAGTCCTTGCTCATTTAATTTTTCCATGATGTTATTTGATTTTTTAATTTTTTAAAGCTTTTATATATTTATATGTCTGAGAGAGAGAGAGAGCACACAAGCAAGGGGAGCGGCAGGCAGGGGGAGAAGCAGGCTTCCCACTGAGCAGGGAGCCCAATGTGGGACTCAGTCCCAGGACCCTGTGAGCCAAAGGCAGACGCTTAACTGACTGAGCCACCCAGGTGTCCCTCCATGATATTATTTTAGTTATTCTTGTTAGCTTAAAGTTTCAAAATAATAATACAGTTTTAAGTTAAAGCAGATTTCTGCTATGCAGTTTCAGTTAAATAATTATTTAAATATTCTATTGATCTCTCTGCCTTCATAGTAAAGTAGAATGTAGAAAGGTATTTCATTCCTCATTTTTAACTAGTAGGTAGTTAATTTGATTATTTGATTATTACTGTTTATTTTCTAGAATTTATAGGAATTTGATAAGTCTAAGGGCATTTAGCCAGTGAAATCTCCCCAGTTATATTAATGCTGTACCATGAAACCACTTCACTTTTAGTGATAAGAATCTTTCAACTTTATGATTATCTGGTTTTAATATAATGCATTAAACAGTTTTTCTTGTTAGGATAGTATATGGAATAGGATAAAGGTTAAGATCAAAATCAGAGGTCAGCAGACTTTTTTGGGGGGCGGGTAAAGGGCCTGACAGTAAATATTTTAGCCTTTGGTCCTTACCAAAGTATTTCCAGTATTCTCCAATGGAAATGCTCAACTCTGCCATCAACAGGAAAGCATCATAGACAATATAGAAACAAGTGGATGTGGCTATGTTCCAACAAACTTTATTTACAAAAGCATGCAGGAGGCTCACAGATTATAGCTTGCTGACCCCTGGTATAGTTCATTGAACATAATTTTTTTTGTTAGAATAGTATTTTGGATAGGATCTTAGAGTGTCACCATCTGGATTATTATTTTATAATTGTAGAAAGATGAAGAAAAACTTGTTTAAATGTTTATATTGATCTAGAATACAATCTTGAAGTGGCTTTATTTTATTGTCTATAATGATACTGTTTTTTCTCTCACAAAACCAGTGGTGCACTCCATGCCCTCCTTCATTTCAGAGACAAAGGTTAAAGCAGAGTATGTTGTTCGGTTTATGTTAATTGATTTTTAAAAAGATTATTTATTTATTTGACAGAGAGAGAGAGAGGGTGTGCACAAGCAGGGGGTGGGGTAAGCTGACATGGGGCTGGATCCCAGGACCCATGAGATCATGACCTGAGCCGAAGGCAGATGCTTAGTCGACTGAGGCACCCAGGCACCCCATATATTAATTGATTTTTTTATTTGTAAATGCCATTAAAAGTAGTAATTTTTAAATGTTAATGCAATTTTAGATATGTTAAGTAAGATAAATCACTCTCTGAGCCAAGTCCTAATTAAGTATTCTTTTGTTTATAGTACGAATTTTATACATATTGCCTGGATATTTAGTTAAGTAAAGTTCCAGGGTTTATTTTTGTAAAGCTGTTAATAAATAGATCTATATGTCTTACTCTACCTTCTTTTTTTCTCCCGTTGTATGAAAATACTGGTAATATTTTCTTATAGTGTGAATCCTCAGATATTATTGCTTTAAGGGGGGGTGGGTGGCAGCAGTGGTAACAAAAGGTAAAAACGTGTGTGTGTGTGTGTGTGTGCGTGTGTGTGTGCGTGTGGTGTGTGTGCATATACAGCATTGACTTTAAGCAGCATTAATTTTAATCTCCCCTGCTCAATGGATTTTTGTAAAATCATGTAATTGTGATCTGATGCACCTTCCTTTATGTCAGGGGACTTTTTGGCTGCCCTCAGCTTGTTATTCTATCCCATCTATACTTATGTGATTATATATAAAGGGAAACATAGTTATTTGATTTTTGTTCCAGGTATCATCATGTTGGTTGGCTGGTTACTAGGAAAAGATATCCTGGAAATGTTTACTATTAGTGTAAGGTAAGTTCTAATCATTTGTTTATAAATTGAGTCTCTTTTCCCTCTCTTATTTCTCTAATAGGCATAGGTTATATTCCATTATGGAGGTATTATATGAACAGAAAAGAGAATAGTGTTTCTACTTAAATAGTTCAGAATTCATATATTGAAATGAATTCTAGGAAAATGAAAACCTACATATATAGCAGAAGAAAACCTGCACCAGATGTCTGGTATTATCAGTCTAATACTGCATTTTTATATATCAGTAGACAAGCATTGCCTAACTGAAAACTAGCAGCATGAAAGAGAAAGACCATAATAATAGAAATTGAATAATCAGTCTCAGAGGAAAATGAAAAATTGAAGAAATAGAAAAATTTATTTTTATTTTTTATTTTTATTTATTTATTTTTTAAGATTGATTTATTTGAGAGAGCGAGAATGAGAGAGAGAGAGTACATGAGATGGGGAGGGTTAGAGGGAGAAGCAGGCTCCTCGCCGAGCAGGGAGCCCAATGTGGGACTCGATCCTGGGACTTCAGGATCATGACCTGAACCGAAGGCAGTCGCTTAACCAATTGAGCCACCCAGGCGCCCCGAGCAGAAAAATTTAGAAAGCATTTTTATTTTCAGAGATCTGTAAAGAAACTGCATTCATGATAAACAGATTACTTAAAAGAGGATCAGAGGACAAAAAGAGTTTTTAGAAATTACGATTTTAACTGCTCAAATTAAAAATTCAGTATAAGGGCTGTAATGTAAAGTCAAAGAGGGATCCCCCACAAATCAAGTAAAATGTCCAAAACAGAGAATGGAATAAAAGTGACAAAGAATAATTTAATAAATGCCATATCTACCCAATAAGAGTTTCAAAAAGAGGGAAGAAGAAATTACATAAGAAATGATAGAGTATTTTCTCAATCTGAAGCAAGACGTGAAATTTTTATAGTTTGTGTGGATTCTCTAAATGCCAAACAGGATGAAAAAAACGCCCAACCTGGATACATCATTATTAAATTAAAGAAAACAAGTTAGATCATCTATAAAGGAAGGATAATTAGACTGGTATCACATTTCTCATTGGCAGTTGCAGTTTCCACCATGGATTTTTTTTATTTTTGAAAGAGTTTATTTTTTTATTAGAGAGAGGTAGGAGAGAGAGCATTGGGGGGGTGGGGGGAGACAGAGAAGCAGACGTCCTGCTGAGCAGGGAGCCCGATGGGGGCTCGATCCCAGGACCCCGGGATCATGACCTGAGCTGAAGGCAGACACTTAACTTATTAAGCCACCGAGGTGCCCCCATGGGGTCTTTTTAGACTCTTCTAAACATTTCAACTGACAAAACTTTAATAGGTCACAATTGGTACCTGTGCTCTGAACAGTGGGGCAACTTAAGGCAGCCATCTTCTGAGAGTCTCTGCAGCAGTTCAGCTTTAGGTACAAGGAGGTTGGGATGACCTTGTGAGTTGGGGAGCTACCCTGGGTTAAAATGGTTCATACTTCAGGGCGCCTGGGTGGCTCAGTTGGTTAAGCGACTGCCTTCGGCTCAGGTCATGATCCTGGAGTCTCGGGATCGAGTTCCACATCGGGCTCCCTGCTCGGCGGGGAGTCTGCTTCTCCTTCTGACCCTCCCCGTTCTCATGCTTTCTCTCTCTCTCTCATTCTCTCTAATACATAAAATCTTTAAAAATTAAAAAAAAAAAAAAAAAAGGTTCATACTCCGTGAGGGCCAACATCTCTGGAAACATACTTTCCAGGGTGTTTGCAAGAGACATGTCCAGTTATAAGAGTCACCTACACTTAGAAACCCAAAGTGATGGCTTCCTGTAAGATAATTAAAATTCTTCTAGTCCATAGATGGTTTATCAGTCAGGAGATCCCTTTATCATAAGCAGTGTTGCCTAGCAACATAGTTGACCTAACTACCCTAACCAGGTCACTAGAGGAACAGAGCTAGAGATTTACGGGAAAAGGATTTTATTAACCCTTCCTCCACAGTAACATTGGATTACATTAGAGAACAGTGGGGCAGTGCTATCAAAGTATGAGGGGAAAGGATTTTAAATCTATAAATCTAGGCAGAGACAACATATCTATCCAGTTAATTACAAATAGGTAAATAATCAGAAAATTTATTCCTTCCCTGTCCTCTATGAATTATAGTAAAACAAGGATGAAAAAAAGGAAGATGATGTGTGGGATATAAGTAAGAGTAGAACTCACCTAGGCATCTAAAGAAAAGAAATGTTGGATAACAGCTCTGTCGTAGGCCTAGGAAGTAATAGTTCAAATGTTAGAACAAAAACAGTGAATTTAAAAAAAAAATCAAATGGAATAAGTAGGTTGAATAAGAGGTTAAAAGATATTTGTGATAGGGTGAAGGAGTATATTTTTTTCCTTAAAGGAGCAAAAATACAATTTGAAACTCTTGGCTTCAATCTGTATAAAAAAGACTTGGGTGAAATATGAAATAAATTTACAATGAGGCATGAGTGTGAGATACTAAACATTAGCATATTATCTATTGGACTTATTTTTAGATTTTGAGGGGTTTTTTTTTGAGAAGTTCAATTTTATAGATTGATATTTTTATTTCTGCTTCAAGGTCTTACAAAGGACAAAGCATTAAAAAATTTTTAATAGAATAAAACTCATTCTATTTTGCAATTATATGGGTCCATTGTCCTTTTATAAATTTAAGTGAGATATATTATGGGATCTTTTGTGACCTTATTTTTCCTGTGTCTTGAAGCATTATATTATTTTATTACCCTAGCAATTATTTTATTTATTTATTTATTTTTAAAGATTTTTATTTATTTATTTGACAGAGAGAGACTTGACACAGCAGGGGGAGTGGGAGAGGGAGAAGGGGAGCCCGATGTGGCACTCGATTCCAGGACCCTGGGATCATGACGTGAGCCGAAGGCAGACACTTAAGGACTGAGCCACCCAGATGCCCCCTACCAATTATTTTAATAATTATTTCCAGCTGTTCTAAAAATGAGTAAAAACAGTAAGAATGCAGAAGAATGATGGGATCACTTATAGGGTTGATGTAATAATAAAGTAAATCATCATTATTCTGTTATCCTTTAATTTTTTTATTATGTTGCTCAGAAATATTACATTGTCGGGCGCCTGGGTGGCTCAGTTGGTTAAGCGACTGCCTTCGGCTCAGGTCATGATCCTGGAGTCCCGGGATCGAGTCCCACATCAGGCTCCCTGCTCAGCAGGGGGTCTGCTTCTCCCTCTGACCCTCTCCCCTCTCATGCTCTCTGTCTCTCATTCTCTCTCTCTCAAATAAATAAATAAAATCTTAAAAAAAAAAAAAAAAAAAAAGAAATATTACATTGTCATTTACAAAGGTATAAAAGAGGTCTAGAGACAGTCATTGTCTTTTTTTGTTTTTACTCATTAAAGTTAAGAATCATAATTTTTTGCTTTCCACCATAATGCCAAAGAATAATTGATAGAAGAGTAATTGGACAAACCAGAAGATGATTGCAAGGAGACAAAGAGCCACTGTATGCTCTAATGATGGGGGTGAAATTTAATAAAAAAAGTGAAATCTTAACACTCTGAATCTTTGGATGATGGTAGTCTAAATTTTCTGAAACTCCTGAATTAATGAGTGAATAGTTTCTTTCTAAGGACAAAAGGGAAGGATAGGTATTCCCTTTCAGTTAGTCATTCTACAGCAAGGAATTCATCATGCAGTGTTTTCCAGCAAGAAACCTAGACCACCCCTTTTTGTTAAAAGTGTGCGTGTGATAGTTTTGTTTAATCTTTTATGATACTTGTTTTCCAACTTTTACTTTATACCATTTATAAGTGGAGAAAACCAAAGGCTGATGTGAATATAAAAGTGATTAAAAGGAAATAGATGACATAGAAATGAAAAACTAATTGAACTCATGTTATTGGTGTTTATAAATCTAAAAATTGTTACAAAGATGATGACTGTTCCTTTTTCAGCAGAATTACGAGCCATCCACAATTTCAAAAGTGTTGCATTTTGAAGATACAAATACAAAAAGTGAAACCAGAATTGATAAGCCTATAACCTATTGGAAATGTTTATTGAATTTGAAATCAGTATTTGTAAAGTGAATGTATTCCAGGTTCTTTCCTGACAGTTCATGAGCCATACTAGTTGCATCCAGAGGACATTGCCCCTTTCAGATATATGTATACCTTCAAATCCAGGAATGTAGTTTAAGGTTAAAATTAAAAATTTCTAATGACGTTTTTCACCATCCATTTTATTCCTCTGCAAATTATTTATAAAGTGACTTAAAAACAAAAGAATGGAAAGGTCCATTAGATCTAGAGTATGAACAATGATGTCTATTTTTCCTGATACATTGAGGGTTAATGGAAGCCTACGAAAAAAGTTTTCTGTTTCAGCTTAGAATAGTTCAAAAGAGAGAAGGAAGTACTAATGATAGCACATATTTCTTTGGAGCCTAGTGTGGGGCTTGAACTCACAACCCTGAGATTGAGACCTGAGCTGAGATCAAGAGTCAGACGCTTAAACTGACTGAGCCACCCAGATGCCCCGATGAGCACATATTTCTTGACTCTTTGTGTACACTATTTAGCCAGTGGTATTGTGTCATTCACTGGCTTTCTAATTTTAGAATTAACCTGTAAACAGAGCATGAAAGCTTAATAATGCTTTACAGAAGAGGATGCTAATGATTACAAGTTAGATCATGCTAAGGAAAAAGTAGGTAATAGAAATTGGTGAGTAGAAGCAGTGGATGCAACAATATTAGAATGAAGAACAGGAACGCATATGTTCTTACCTGTAGGAGAGTCAAGAGCTAATACTTGGAATGGGATAAAAAATAGACTTAATTTGATTTTTTTTTAAATTTGCAAAAGGAAACTAATTTTTTGTTGTGATAAAATACATATAACATAAAATTTACCATTTTAAAATGTACAATTCAGTGGAATTAAGTCCATAGTGTTGTACAACCACAACCATTATTGAGTGTCATCACCCCAAAAGAAAACCTTGTGCCCACTGGGCAATCACTCTTCTTCCTTCTCCCTAGCCTGTGGCAGCCACTAAACTGCTTTCTGTCTCTATGGATTTGCTTATTGTTAATTTCATATAAATGGAATAAAAACACTATGTGTCTTTTGTGTCTGGCTTCTTTAATTTAGTATAATGTCTTCAAGGTTCATCCATGTTGTAGCATGTATCAGTACTTCATTTCTTTTTATGGTGGAATACTTTATTGTATGGATACACCACAATTTCCCATTTATCACTTGATGGACATTACAGTGATCTTTTGGCCATTGTAAATAGTGCTGCTATGAACAGTCATGTCTAAGTTTTTGTTTGAATGCCTCTTACTGTTAACTGCATTTATAGATGAGAAAACTAAACTACGGAGGTAGACTAATAATAGCTCAGGGTCAAACAGGTAAAAATTGGTGAAGCCATGGGTATAAATCTAGGTAATCTGATATCACAACCTACATTCTTCAACCACTACACTTAACCTGGCAGCTAGTAGGTATCCAGTAAATGTTAATCAACTTTCCCTTCCTCTTGAGGCCATTTTTGAGTGTTAATAGTATTAATTTTATATTGTATTAGTCTGTTTTAAGTAACAGCCCATTGAAATTGTTGCTGTATGTACTATTTAATTTATACTTCAATACTAAGTATATATTGGTTACAGTTTGGCAGTGGCAGCAATTCCTGAAGGTCTTCCCATTGTAGTCACAGTGACTCTAGCCCTTGGTGTTATGAGAATGGTGAAGAAAAGGGCCATTGTGAAAAAACTGCCTATTGTTGAAACTCTGGGTAAGTATGTGGTAATATGAGCATACTTATGCAATAGTGTGTTAGTTTACATCAACAGTGAATCATCTTCAGGTTGTACGGTTTTTGTCTGAGAGGCTAGAATAGTGGTATTTGACTTGTGGCAAAGTTAAGTATGGTTTTCAGAACCAGAAAAGGTAATTGAAGTGTATGTCTTTCCGGACAGTGTACTTACAGAGAAATCTTACTGTGTCATGGAATGTTCTAATCCTTAAATCATGTAAAAAAGAAATCTATAACAAATGAAACCTGGAGTAAAATTAATAGAATTTTTTTCTTTTGACATCTCAAGGAAGATAATTGATAATCATAGATCCTAGAATGTCATATTCCAGGTGAATTTGCTGATAAGAACAATAAACATACAACAGTTGCAAAATGTTGCTATAACATAACTTTATGTTTGCTATGAAACTTCTTTTTTAAAAAATTTAGGAATCCAAAAATACTGAATTTAATTTTTTAGTTTGCATTATAATATTCAAGAGGCAAAATAACTACTCACTGAAAAAATTATATGGGTTTATATTTAGGTACCCTTAAAACTTCCTAGAAAATGTATTATATAAAGTTATAATATAAAGCTAATACTGAGAAGCTCTGTAGAAATTCAGTTGCAGGTTAATAAGAAAAAGTCAACATTTATCACTATTTTTTAATTTTAATTTCAGAACTTACTTTATGGTGGTGAAAAGCATAATGAGAGAAAACAATCTTAAAATTGTCAGTGAGCTTGATTTGTACAAAATTAAGAGAAACCGGACAGGCTTCCAGAGTCTTTGATTTGTTTTTAATGTGAACTTGTTTATTTCTCCCTGACTCTTTTGGTGACATGTAATGATTTATTCTGTAGGCTGCTGTAATGTGATTTGTTCAGATAAAACTGGAACACTGACAAAGAATGAAATGACTGTTACCCACATCCTTACTTCGGATGGTCTGCATGCTGAGGTACTCTATAGATTTTTTTAACAACAGTTAAAGATTCTTTGTTAAGAATCTTTGGTGTTTAGACATTCCTAACAATTCTAGTGTCTTCAAAAGGGCTATAAATTCATTATCAGTGGGGCCTTTTCCTTATGCTACCAGTCTTGATCCCACTGCATTTGTACAGTCCAGAAACTTTGAATCATCCTTGGCACCTGTCTTTCAATCACCCCTAGCCATTTGTTACCAAACTCTTATTCTTGCTCTATATGTAGCTTGAGGGATCTTTTAGAACCAAATGTTAGCAAGTTTATTTTAATTAATTAATTAAGATGTTTCAATGGCTTTCCATTGTGACCAGGAGTCTTAAGTATGGCCTTTCAAGGCCCCTACATATTTTGTTCCTTATTTCCTTCTTTATCCTTATGTTTCACTTTGCTTTCTGGGTACCAGATGCATGACTTTATGATTCTCTCAGTGTGACAAAACTCCTCCTTCTTCAGGCCCTTTGCTGCTGTTCTCACTGCATAGGACAGTCTGTTATGTCTTCATCCTTTGCAACTCAGTTCCAACCAACCAACCAACCAACCTCCCTCCCTCCCTCCCTCCCTTCCTTCCTTCCTAGGCAATTAATTAGCATACAGTATATTATTAGTTTCAGAGGTAGAGTTCAATGATTCATCAGTCTTATATAACACCCAGTGCTCATTCCATCCCGTGCCCTCCTTAATGTCCATCACCCAGTTTCCCCATTCTCCCCATCTCCCCTCCAGCAACTCTCAGTTTCTTTCCTATGATTAAGAGTCTCTTATGGTTTGTCTCCCTCTCTGATTTTGTCTTACTTTATTTTTCTCTCCCTTCTCCTATGCTCCTCTGTTTTGTTCCTTAAATTCCACATATGAGTGAAATCATGTGATAATTATCTTTCTCTGACTTAATTTCAATTAGCATAATTTTCTCTAGTTCCATCCATGTCATTGCAAATGGTAAGATTTCATTTTTTTGATGCCTGCATAATGTTCCATTGTATGTATATATACCACATCTTCTTTATCCGTTCATCTATTGATGGATATTTGGGCTCTTTCCATAGTTTGGCTATTGTGGACATTGCTACTATAAACATTCAACCCCACTTCTTTAAAAAAGCTTTGCTGACCACCCAGAACTGGCCATATGTTATTTGTTTTCATAGCACTCAGTGCCTTTTAATTTTCAGCCCAGGTAAAATTTTCTGTTCTTTATACTATAAGTTGTAATAGAGCAGAACTAAGTTGCCCAACACAGGGCCTGCCTCCTGGTAGTAAATACTTGTTGAAAGAATAAATGAATAGATGAATTATTTTATTTTAAAAATAATATTTTTGGCAGTGTCTTAAGTGCATGTCATCTGTGTGTGTTGGTTAATTTTGAAGCTAGGTAAGGACAAGTTCCAGTTTCATCCCAGTCTTGAAAGGATTTCTGGCTGGTATGTTCATTCACACTACTTAGGATGGGTACAGTATTTTAAATTGTATTTGCATCCAATTTGCTACATCATTAGACAGATTGACAGAAATTGTACTTAGGTTTATTTAATTCCATTTTACATAGGCTTTAAAATGAGACTATTGATATTTAGGGTGTTAGATTTGGTTAAGGATACCCAGTACTGTTGTTGAATGTGCCTTTTCTGGATGATTCAGGGTCATTGGGGTTACATGTGCTTGTGTGGTTCAGGTATGGAAGGTAGAATATAAGTTTCTGTTGTTTTAAGCCCATACTTTCATATGTCAAGCATTAACTGTTAATTTCTCTCTAACCTGTCTTATTTTTACTGTGAAATTTAACTTTTGTTGGCTTAGTTTGTTCTAGCCATACGGAATAAGCATCTGGCTTTTCTCTACCTCTGATTTTTAAAACTGGCATGTATACTATGTTAAAGTAGTTTGTAAGTGCTAGGTTAAATCATGTAATGTCTCTGAGCCTGCATATTTGCCAAAAGAATTCTGCTTTTTTCTGGGTTTCAGGTTTGTCACAAATGTTAGATGTGGAAATGGATTTGAATTCTTGGAAAATTTACTGTTTATAAATGTAATGTTATATAAATTTAAAGCTCATTTTTGTATAGAGGTTCTCATGGTTATCCTTTATTATGGCATATTTTAAGTAGAAACAATATAAAATTATATTAATTATTTTTATATTAATATAAAATATATTTATTAAATATATATTTATATTAAATATATAAACAATATAAAATTATATTAATTATATAATAATTATATATTAATGTCTACTTAAAATATACTATACATTGTTATAATTATTAATTTAATTATTAATGTAATTTTGGTTTGTCGTTATTGTAAAAATTAGAATCTATATTCTTTTTTTTAAAGATTTTATTTGTTTGACAGAGAGAGGCACAGCGAGAGAGGGAACACAAGCAGGGGGAGTGAGAGAGGGAAAAGGAGGCTTCCTGCTGAGCAGGGAACCCGATGAGGGGCTCGGCTCGATCCCAGGACCCTGGGATCATGACCTGAGCCGAAGGCAGACACTTAACGACTGAGCCATCCAGGCGCCCCAGAATCTATATTCTTTTTTTTTTTTTTTTAAGATTTTATTTTATTTGAGAGAGAGAGAGAGTGCACGAGTTGGGGAGAAGGGCAGAGGGAGAAGGAGAGTATCTCAAGCATGCTCTGGGCTGAGCTTGGAACCCAGCATGGGGCTCAGTGTCACGACCCATGAGATCATGACCTGAGCTGAAACCAAGAGTTGGGCATTTAACCAACTGAACCACCCAGGCACCCCAGAATTTATATTCTTTTAACTATTAAATGTTCTTTTAGACACATGCTTTTCTAGGTATATACACTAACAGTAATCATAATGTATAAAATGAAATGAACACAAGTCATCATAGGTTTTGTTTTTTATAAGTCACTATCTACCAGTTGAATTATTGACCCCACTTTATGTTCCTTAGGTTACTGGTGTTGGCTACAATCCGTTTGGGGAAGTGATTGTTGATGGTGATGTTGTTCATGGATTCTATAACCCAGCTGTTAGCAGAGTTGTTGAGGTAAATACTTCATTCTCTAAGAAGGTGACTTTTCATAATGACTTAGGACACAGTGATGGGTTCTTAGTTTCTGTATATTTCTTTTAGGCGGGCTGTGTATGCAATGATGCTGTAATTAGAAACAATACTCTAATGGGGAAGCCAACGGAAGGAGCTTTAATTGCTCTTGCAATGAAGGTATGTGCCTGATTTCTCTTTGACATATGAGAACTCACCTTCATAAGAGAATGTAAGGCCATCAATTTCAGTATTGCTAGTTTTTAGGTGTAGAATGAAGATTCTTTAATATTTCATTGCATTATTGCCTTTTGGGGACCAGTTTTATTCTTCCTGGAAATACAGAGCTAATCCAGCCTTTTCAGTATAGCTTTATCCCTTACATTCAAGAAATAAATTAATGACCAGTGACTAGATTTCTTCTTATGAAGGAATGTTTTCATAATATTTTCCATAATAGAATCTTGTGTGGAAAGCTTTCTAAATGTGTGTAGTTGCTGAAGTACTAACTTCCAAACAAGTAAAAGGCAGCATTATTTAAGTAATTCTATGTAAAGATATTAAAGCCATTATGAGAAATCAGCTTTTCTTTCTCTAGTCTTCCCATTTCCTCCATTATCAATTTCTTAAATGAGGATATTATTAGAATTTGTGTTGGGGCATCTATCCCAGTTGATGTCCTCTTCTAAGTCTTAGATTTGATGAAATGCAAAACCTAAAGTCCCCTTTGTCACTCCCATAACAAAAATTAAAACTCCTACTTTCAAGAGCAGTCTTAGAAAATTTTGAGACTTGTGTGAAACAGGACACCTCTAAATGAGGTTGTTCGAATTGAGATTCAGTATAGAAATGTAGGTTATTATATTTAATTTAATAAAATAAAATTGATAGTTTTAGAATATATATAAAGCTACATTTCTTTATCATTTTGTTGTAACTAAAATAGCATTGAATAGCTTTTTGAAAGATATTTAAAAGTTCAATCTGTTAACCATCATTTACTGTGTTACACTTAACCTTATACTCTTAACTTTTTTAAGAGATAAAGAGTGTGAAACCACCTCCTTAGGACTGGGGATCTCACGTTTTAGGGAGTTGACACTGACATGCATGGAACAAATACAAGCTAGACCAGTAGAGCAGATAGTTAAGTCTTAAAGGTTAAGCCACATATAAGAATAAGGCAAATTCAGATTTGAGACCTCGGCTTTGAGGGATAAGCAGGATTTAGATGGGTAAGCTAGGAAAAGAGCAAGGATAAAATGGAGGAAAAAATAAGCCTAGAATGTGTGGTGGCTTATTCATTGGTGAACTCGGATGGAAAAAAAGGAGTTTGAGTAACCCAGAGGATTGTTAAATAGACCGCATGGTGGGTTTCTGGAGGACCTTTGAAAGCCAGGAAGAGTCGGGACGTGTTTCAGGAGATAGCAAAGAGACAACAAAAAGCAATAAGCTAGGTTTTTCAGTAGTTTAAAAAATATTTTTGAATATTTGGAGGTTAAAATGTAGAGGGTATTGTGAAGAACAGCTAAAGGACGCTGATAGTAGTCAGAATATCAAGTGGTAAGATGTTAGCAAAAGGAAAGATATATTTGAATCCCTAAGAAGTAAGAAATTGAATTTGAAGCTTCTGTTGATCATAAAAGTACATGATCAGTATTGGTTGGTTGGGTACCTTTTTTTATTTGTATCCTGCTTCCTTTGAGAATTTGATCCATTAGAGATTTTAATCTAGTCAGTGTTGAAGAGTTGGTCTACATACGGTCCAGGTAGCATGCCTTAGCCTGTATGTACACACCCAGGCTTTCATCTTGATCATGTATGTTGCCCTTCAGAGAAATGTGGTATATGTAGATGGAGCACTGCTATTCTGTCACCATTTTTTGAAAAATACCCAGGTATCTCTAGCCAGCCAACTGTAAGCTGTGACCCTTGTTCTCTGTTAAAGGAAAAAATAGTCACATGTTGGTGAGAATTAACTTTCTTTTTGTGCCATATAGATGGGTCTTGATGGACTTCAACAGGACTATATCAGAAAAGCTGAATATCCTTTTAGCTCTGAGCAAAAGTGGATGGCTGTTAAGTGTGTACACCGAACACAGCAGGTACCCTTCCATGTAAAGAGTACTTACTAAATCTTACTTAATATAGATGACTGTATTGTATTTATTATCCACCTTTACTTTTAAACAATCATTGAGCATAACAAAGGCCTATTGCTTTAAATTGTGTATAATTCGTGGTAACTCATTCTTGTTGTTCTCATGTTCTCTTTGAATTCATGCATAGGGACATCAAGTTTTGCTGTGTGAGCAAACAGCTTAAAATGAATTGGAGCCTGGTTTCAATGTCCTAGAACTTATGACGCCAGATTCTATCAACATTTTTGTTGTTGATGACTATGTACTATACGTTTCTGCCCTCTGGTGTAAATCTGTGTTCTTTCACTGAAGGAATGTCTTGTCTTCAGAACAAACAGAACTACATTATTTTGTGGAAAAGTGGTTACCAAATGTGTATAATTCATATTCGTTGATCCAGCTTACAAACTGGCAAAATGACATGCACTGATATTTCAAGCTGCTACTTTGTTCCTGGGTGCTTTAGAAATGTTTACAAAATTATTATCTTATTTTATTATAATTATATAATAATATAATATATATTATCTTATTTATCTTAATATATTTATATAATAATATATAGTTATATGTTGTGACATAATATATATATTACACTACATATTATATTATCTGCAGCATATAATTATGTCAGTCATAGTTGCTGTTACCAGCTTGATGCTTAAACTTACTTTGCCTTTAAAATACACATATTTTGTTATTTTTATATTTTCTTTATTATGAATTAATAATTGGTTCTGTGTTTTCACCTGTGAGCAAGAAACCATTACATCTCTGTAGACATGAATTGAGTGAGAGGATTTCCCCTCACCCCCATAAGTAGGAAACATAATTGATTTTATTTTAAAGATTTTCTTTTTCCTCTGTGACTTATTTTATTATTGTAAATTTGTACCTCTTAATCCCATTTATCTGCTTCACCTCTCCCCCACCCACCTCCCCTCTGGCAACCATCAGTTTGTTCTTTGTATTTAAGAATCTGTTTTTTGGTTTCTTTCTTCGTTGGTTTTTTTACATTCCACATATAAGTGAGATCACGTGGTATTTGTCTTTCTCTGACTTACTTCACTTAGCATAATACCTCTAGGTCCATCCATCTTGTTGCACATGGCAAGATCTCATTCTTTTTTATGGCTGAGTAATACTCCTGTGTGTGTGTGTGTGTGTGTGTGTATACACACACACACACACACACACACACCCCACATCTTTATCCGTTCATTTATTGATGGCACTTCGGTTGCTTCCATATCTTGGTTATTGTAAATAACGCTGGGAGGAGCTGTTGGATAAATAATTTTTATGTGTTGGAATGTTAACTCTTGATTTAAAACCTGCTTGATCCATGTTCTCAATCCTTGTCCAGAATTACCTTACTAACTTGCTCTGTTTAAACTTGAGGGAGAACAATGAGGGGGTCGGGGTGGTAGCAAGGGTTGCAATGGATGGAGAGAATGGTGTGGATGGAGGGATGGCCCAGTGGTGGGACACAAGGGCCATCACCGAGGATGATGGGCCAATGATCGAAAAAGAGAATACACGGTAGGGAAGGCCGTGTGTCCACAGCCGCGGGGTTAGAGAGGGGAGGGTCATCCTCTCTGAGACCACTGAGCCCTATCGTGGCCCAGCGACTCCTCCACTAGGGCAACACTAGGGGACCCGAGGGGAGGACGATTCCCAAGCAGAAAACTAGGACATAAAACTGTAATCCACCTGAGCCGTCAGGAAGATCAGAGAGGCGCTGTGCTTCCCAGCCAGCAACACTGTGCAACACTGCAACTGAATTGAACCCGATGTAGCCGCCATCGCTGCCGCCTGAGGAGTTCCGTGGGTCCTGCCCCTCCGCCACCCCGCAGGCCCTATTTTTAAAGATTTTATTTATTTATTTGTCAGAGAGAGAGCAAAAGCAGGGGGAGCAGCAGAGGGAGAGGGAGAAGCAGGCTCCCCACCAAGCAGAAAGCCCAATGCGGGGCTCGATCCCGGGACCCTGGGATCACGACCCGAGCCGAAGGCAGACGCCCAACCGACTGAGTCACCCAGTGGAAACATACTTGATTTTAAAAGAAAGGCCAATTTGGCCAACATTGAACTTGTGAATAGGTGTCTGCCAGGAACTCTGATCATGAGAGGAAAAAAGATTTCTATCTAATCTTTAAAGGAACTTTTATGAACTGGGAAGGGAGACAAGTGAAAATAAAACTAAAAATAAAATGCTTTTTATAAGGGGTGCCTGGCTGCACACCAACCGTGCATGCGACTCTTGATCTCACAGTTGTGAGTTAGAGTCCCACATTGGGCATGGAGCCTACTTAAACCTTGTAACATGAAGTTTTCAAAAATTGCATTAGAGTAGATAATTTTCAGCTGATGTCCCTTGATATAGAGTTGTACAGCAAGAATATGTATATGAGTTTATTTGGAAGGTCTGTTTCTTTACATTTTATGTATGATCACATAGTAGTACTTCAAGATAATGTGGCTCATGTAAAGTTTAATGATTTGACTTCAGCAATTTTGAATCTAACTTCATCAAAGTTGTACTTTGGAAATTGTACTTTGATGTTACAGTTTGATGTTCTCAGTTGTGGGAGTGGGAGATAGATATAGGTAGTGAGCAGGATATAAGTTTGAAAAGATTTGTGTGATTATTATTCTCATTTACTGATCTGAAGAGCTTCTCTTACAAAATAAAACCAGCCAATGTAACTAACAAAACCCAAACCCACTGATTTGACTCAGGATCTAGAAGAGGTCAGCCTGGCACAGATGTGACAGATTTACCAATTTAAAAGTAATCCCAGGGGCTCAAATAGTCTTAAAAAGACTTTCATTTGTGCATATCAGTATTCATTTATTTATACTTCCTCCCTGGAACCTGCCAAAATGACAACCAATGCATAAAGGACATAAAAAAGAGAAAATACAGAAGATTCAGAGTGAAGATGGGGACTAAGGCAGAGAGCTAAAAACAGGAGATCAGTTTGAAATTCTCCAAGTGCCTTCTGTTTCTTGAGGCCAGATCATTAGCCCTTTTTTCACCCCTGTGGAATATCAGAAATCTCATCTTGGAGACAAGAGTGGAGGGCAGGGCGCCTGGGTGGCTCAGATGGTTAAGCGTCTGCCTTCAGCTCAGGTCATGATCCCAGAGTCCTGGGATCGGGTTCTGCATCGGGCTCCCTGCTCCTTGGGAGCCTGCTTCTCCCTCTGCCTCTCTCTCTCTCTCTCTCTCTCAGGAATAAATAAATAAAATCTTTAAAAAAAAAAAAAAGAGTGGAGGGCAGAATTAAGGCTTACAACTGAAAACAGAGTGATTAAGGTCAAGTCATTGGTAAGCCTCTAGCCCTAACTCCACTTTCTTACAATGCCTGTAGGGAGGTATCTCCCTGCCCTCACTCTATAAGTAAGAAGATTGAAGAGTTGTAGAGAAGCTGACTGGTCCCAGGCAGATCCCAATGGTACAGAGTATTCTTCTTCTTCTTTTTCTTCTTTTTTTAAGTAGGCTCCATACCCAGCGTGGGAGTCCAGTCCAGGGCCCCAACTCACAACTCTGAGATCAGGACCTGAGCTGAGATTAAGAGTCTGATGCTAAACTAACTGAGCCACCCAGGTGCCCTTAGTACAGAGTTTTTTTTTTTTTTTTTTTTTTTAATTCATTTATTTGAGAGAGTGAGCGAGCAAACGAGAGAGAGATCAGGAGCCGGGGGGAAGGGCAGAGGGAGAGGGAGAAGTAGACTCCCTGCTGAGCAGGAACCCCACTGTGGGACTTGATCCCAGAACCCTGGGATCATGACCTAAGCTGAAGGCAGATGCTCAGCCAACTGAGCCACCCAGGGACCCAGTACAGAGTGTTCCTAACTAAACTCTTCATTCACTGGTAGAGTTTTCTGACTGCTGGTCATCATTTCATCACCCTAGAGTGAGGGCCATCATTTGATAAATCCTATCAATGCCCATGGAGCTTCTAGACCTTTAATTTCTTCAGTCTTAATGTAAATGGACAGTCATGGATTGCTAGATACTTGGGAAAAGTCTTCAGTAGGAAAGGCACAGACCAAATCAACAGAGAAAGTGGTCTCAGCAAAACAATGATAATGCTGGATGCTGAAGAAAATTTCCAAAGACCATAGAAAATGACAACAAAATACCTTAAATAGAACATTTTAAAAATAACGTCAATGAATCAGGAAGTGGAACAAAAGTTCAAAGAGGTGCTTAATATGAAAGATAAGGTACAAAAATCAGAAAATAAATAAGACAGCTAACACCCATCTAATAGTGGTAACAGGAAGAGAGTCCAGAAAATGGGAAGGTTTTTTGTTTTTTTTTTAAGATTTTATTTATTTGACAGAGCACAAGCAGAGGGAGAGAGAGGAAGAAGCAGGCTACCTGCTAAGCAAGGAGCCCGATGTGGGACTCGATCCCAGGACTCTGGGATCCTGACCCTGGCCAAAGGCAGCCGCTTAACCAACTGAGCCACCCAGGCGTCCCGGGGAGCTTTTTTTTTAAGATTTATTTATTTGAGAGAGAGAGTGAGAGAGATTGAGTTTGCACACAGCTCACTGGAGGAAGGGGAGGGGGAGAGGGGAAGCCGACTCCTCGCTGAATGGGGAGCCTGATGCAGAGCTCGATCCTGTGATCACGACCTGAGCCTGAGCCAAAACCAAAAACCAAGAGTTGGCCACTTAACTGGGCCACCTGGGTGCCCCCAAAATGGGAAGATTTTGTCAAATAACACCAGACAATTTTTCAGAGGAAGGACTTCAGCTTCTAGAGTAAAATTGCCTACCAGCTGCTCAGCACAATAAGTTATGTTAAAGAAGGGTGAGGTAAAGGGATAAACACAACAGTGCCCATAATCAAGAAATTTGAGGGTGCTTAAGGAGAATTCTGAAAACTTCCACAGGTTTGGGGGCCAGAGAGGAGGCAAGGGGAAGATCATATACAAAGGTTTAGGAATTAAAGTAGCTTCTTTAGGCTTTTCAGTTGTAACACTGGAGTCTGGAGGCTGGAAGATAATAGAGGAATGTCTTCAAATTGAGAGGAAATTTATTCTCAGCTGAACTTAAAAAATGTGATAGAATAAAAATGTTTTCAGATTATTTTTTCTTTAAAGATTATTTATTTATTTGACAGAGAGGGAACACAAGCAGGGGAGTGGGAGAGGGAGAAGCAGGCTTCCTGCAGAGCAGGGAGCCCGACGTGGGGCTCGATCCCAGGACCCTGGGATCATGAACTGAGCCGAAGGCAGATGCTTAACGACTGAGCCACCCAGGCACCCCTGTTTTCAGATATTTCAAGTCTCAAAATGTGTATCCCACACACCTTTTCTTAGATACTTGCAGATATTTTATTCCAAGACTAAGACAGTAGATAAGGAAAAGGAAGACTTAAAACCTGGAGTTCTAACCTGGAGAATAGTGCAAAGAATCCCCAGGATAGAGGTGAAGAGAAGTTCCTGGATACTAGTCGTGGAGTAGGCCTACAAATCGACCAACTCAAACTAGAAAGAAAAGGAGAACAAGACTCAAGAAAGAGATCTTCAGTAATGATGTGGAAGGAATAGCTTCCTTGCTCATTTAAACATATAAAAAATACCAAAATAAATAAAAAAAGAGGAAGTTATAATCTTTTTAAAAGATAAACAGGAAAAGAAATATATTTGATTTATATAGGCTATGGAATCAACATCATACCTTCCTCTTGCCTCTCTGCCTTCTAATATCTGCTCACTAGTTACTTGGGGACCCAGGCAGATGGAAGCTGCATCTCAGTGTGAGCACACACTGCCCTAGCAGGGCCAGAGGAATAGCACATTATTTTCATTTGGAAGTGACACAGTACTGCTCATATTTATCGGCCAAAACAAGTCACGCCTGACTTCAAAATGGGAGAGAAGGGCAGGGAAATACATTTCTGTTATGTGCCTGCAAGAAGTGGGATGCTTGTGAACTGTTCTAGTGACTAGTAGTTTGTTCAGCAGTGAGGAATCATAAAGTAAAAAGAATACTGGCAACTTTTGCTTTAACTATATTGTAACGATGGGGAGTGGAGGAATGGGTAGTAGGAGTGGCCAAACTACAAGTTGTCACAGTGGATGATGTATGAAATTGATCAGTGAAAAAGTAGCAGTATAAATGTATTTAAGAACATGGAGATAATTACCAAGGAACAGCTAAAAGATTTAAAATTGGCTTGGCTCTGTGGAGTAGGACTAGAGGTGAAAGAGTTTGGGCAGGCTAGTTTTTCATTGTAAGCTTTTCTATAATGCTAGGGTAAAAAGTAAAAGGTTTGACACCCATAATTGCAAGGTGGTTATGAGAAGCAAATGAGATCACATACATTTGTACATATAATAGCAACTAATGGAAAGCCTGAACCACTGCTTATGGGCTGATGATAGATCTCTTTCCTTTTCCTGTTAGGTTGTAAGCCTATCCCCTTAGAGTGCCTAATCCAGGGCTTCGTATAGCATTGCCTTCAGTGTGTGGAGGTGAGGGTGAGAAGTAGATGCTGTTTTCTCTAGAGGGTAAAGAAAGCTTCCACAAATGAACTTTTAATCTTCAGAGTTCAAGTGCCACTCAAAGCCTTATTTAGGCTTGAATAACTTGTGGGGATTATGAGAAATGCATGCCATGTATTGTTGGACTCCAGTGGCAGATAGGTATAAGTTGAAATTAACTTGAATTTATTTGCTGTTTTTTCTTTTTAGGACGGACCGGAGATTTGTTTTATGAAGGGTGCTTATGAACAAGTGATTAAGTATTGCACTACATACTACAGCAAAGGGCAGACCTTGACACTTACCCAGCAACAGAGAGATCTCTACCAACAAGAGAAGGCACGAATGGGCTCTGCAGGACTCCGAGGTAAGGCCATTTCAGCATAGTCCCCTAGGGTGGAAAGATAATGCTTTTTTCTTTTCCTTCTCCTTCCCCTTCTTTTCCCTCCCTCCCTCTCTTCTCTTTCTTTCTTTGTTACATTGAAGTAGAGTTGACATACAATGTTATATTAGTTTCAGGTGTGTACAACATATTGATTTGACAAGTCTATACATTGCTCTGTGCTCACCATTTATAGTGTGGTCACTATCTGTCACCATATAGCATTATTACAATATTATTGACTATATTCCCTATGCTGTACTTTCCATCTTCATGACCTTTTTATTTTATAAATGGAAATTAGTCCCTCTTTATCCCATTCACCTGTTTCACCCATCCCTGCACACTCCTCAGTGATGCCTTTTAATTTTAGATGATTTCGTGCTTCATATCTGAGCTGTCCAACTCGATCCCGGGCTTTGTAGAATACTGCCATTTCTGAAGTGTTATGTTTTAGTTGGCTATTTGTCCCCCAAAACACGAGAAGTTGGGAATGTAGCAAAATGTGAAATTTCTATTTCTTACAGACCTGCTTTGGTCTCTGAGTAGGTGATAGAAATTTTATTTTAGACAAGTTTTTCTTGTGAGAAGGGAAATGGAGGAAGATAAAACGATATTACTCCTTCCTTATTTCATCATTTTGACTGTCTTATTTATTAATAGATCTAAAATACTTCCCTAAATATTAACATTTTAAGCCTCTAATTTGTCCTTTAAACTGAGGTGATTGCTTACTTGTTGCTCTTCTGCTGATCTCCTTCCCTTGTCATTTACCAGAAAGGAAAGAAGTGTTCAGATTCTGCTTTATTTCTGTGTTGCTGACCGAACAGTGATGTGGAGAGAGGGTCTGCTATGCACATACATATTAGGCTGTTTCTCTTAGGGTCAGCATGTGTAGGATTGGAAAAGCAGGGGTTGGGGCCATACCTGGTTTTAAACTCTGGGTAGTCATCTGGCTTGTGGGGAATATATATACTTAGGTAGTCTCTCTCAAGGAAATTGGAAGAGTTGGCCTCCTTAATCTTATTATTTTTACAGAATTGAAGTCAAGCACAATCCTGGGAAGAGGAAGCAACTTAATATAAAAAATACTCCCCTTATTCATGGTTCACTTAAGCAAGGGCTTTCTGTGGTTATAAAACATTTGGATAGATCTACAGAATTTCTGCTCTTATAATGAGCTAGGTTTAGAAAGATATTCTTGTAGCTTTGAAGGCAGAGTTTTGTTATTCTTAGCAGTTCACAGCAAGAGGGTCCAAAGTTGGCTTGGGTTTAGAGACGCTAAAGAAGTTTCAGAGGTTTCACACTTTTTTTTAAAGATTTTATTTATTTATTTGACAGAGACACAGCAAGAGAAAGGGAACAGAAGCAGGGGGAGTAGGAGAGGGAGAAGCAGACTCCCTGCTGAGAAGGGAGCCCGATGCGGGGCTCCATCCCAGGACACTGGGATCATGATCTAAGCTGAAGGCAGACGCTTAATGACTGAGCCACCCAGGCGCCCCGTTTTCACACTTTTTTATTTTAACTCTTTTCATCTGAAGGATCATGGAGGTTTGTGTATGTTTGGTGTTTTAACATTGTGAAATAGACCAGAGTTGGTAGAGGAGAAAATCTCCTGTTTCACAGGGCTTTAGGGAAACATTCTGGTCATTTCATTTGTTTCTTGCTTCATGTCTTTTCCTTTGGTTAAGCTCCGCTTTCTTCCTCCTCCTGAAATTACCATAATGGGAACAGAAGGACTTCAGATTTAACTTGATATGTACTTAGTTTACGTCTTATGTAATACAAGTACATGATTCTTGATTTTGAAATTAGAGTATGTTTTGTTTTTATGTTTTAGTTGGGGACCCTCCTCATGAAAAAGGTCTGCCTAACCTTATCCCAAACAGTAGCGGTAGATTTTCATTTGTGCTAAGGAAGCAAACAAATAAATACAGGATACTCTAGGCTAATACCACCTCTCCACTGAGGGTGCCAAGAGCTGCTCTCCCTTTCTTAGGGTTTGCTGACACACGAATTTATACTCACTATTCCTTTCTGTAGTCTTCTGTCTCTGTTCTGACACCAGGGACTATCAAGTGTCTCATTCTTTCTAGGGTGAAAGCCTTTGGGGCTCACATCTACATAAATAGTTAGGTGTATGACTCTGACATTGGGAAAATAGAAGTCATTTGCCTCTAACCTTGGTTTTCCAAATATATTTAATCCTTCAAACCTTCTACTTGAATAAGAATGGATACTGCTTATAATCTGGTTATGACTTTTCAGTTTCTCCATGAGTTACATATGTTTAGTTGGTGTGCTTTTTTGTGTTTTCTCTGGTATATTGTTCAGTCCAATAATATTCCAGATGGACACACATCCCTTTAACTCATTAGGTAGTTACCAGAAGTTCCGAATTCTGAGAATAAGTTAAATGATATTTGGAAATGAGAACAGTGTTTTGTGTTATATCTTAAGTGCTCGAGGATGACGGGAAACTCCCAATAATGATATGGTGGTGTTAGATATTATTAGAGAACCAAAGTTACAAATAAGAAATACTTATTAAGTTATGAAAAGAGTGAAAGAATCCAAACTACTGTTACTAATGATTGTGCATTCACTTTACAGATTACTTTACCTCCCAGGGTTTGTCATGTACAAAATTGTTGTATGTTGTGTATAATTAATCAATAAAGCCTTCTCTTCAAGCTATTGAATTGTTCTGGAGACCTATAAAATGGAAAGATGAAGATACATTCGTAGCAATCCCCTTCAGAGGTGTCTGTTTAAAACTGACTTTCAAAGCTCAACAAACCCATAGTTCTCCAAATACCTAATTATTTTTTCTAAAGAGCTAATAGTTGATGTTTAGAAGAGCTGCGTGTAGTCACTTTGTAAAAACATTCTTTATTCACTCCTTACTTGCCTTCTCTGCTTAACAATTCTTTAGTCTTATTCCTTTTAATATTTAATAGCTTTCAGCAACCCCATATTAGAACCATTAAACTAATGTCTTAACATGTAATACATTTTTATATATAATGATTATATCATAACTACAATGACATTTTAGTCTTAAGTGATTTCTTTGTCTCTAGCTTTTGTCAAGAAACTTGTAATGCTTTTGTGACTTACATTTTCTTTTTTTGGATTTTATTATTTCCTCAGTTCTTGCTTTAGCTTCTGGTCCTGAACTGGGACAGCTGACGTTTCTTGGCCTGGTGGGAATCATTGATCCTCCTAGAACTGGTGTGAAAGAAGCTGTTACAACACTCATTGCCTCAGGAGTATCGATAAAAATGATTACTGGAGACTCACAGGAGACTGCAGTTGCAATTGGTATAACTAGGCTGGTCCCCTCCCCCCACCTCTTAATAGTTTTAAATTAATTGCAGTACATAGCTTTGAACCATTAGATATAAAATGTATACGTATAATATTGACGTTGTACAATTAAAATGGACTCTTTTATTCACACTGTATAAAAATGTGGGCAAAAATTTATTTTAGGTTAAAATAGTACTATTAATTGAAAATACATAATTATTAGGAAATCACATATGTTTTATTCACAGAAGAATAGTTGATTATTTTTAACCTCATAATCCACTATGCTATTGGATAAAAGCACTAGATTATACACATGAAACATGAAATTTAATTTTCCCTTTAAACTTGATAATTTTCAAAACAGACTTTGATTTGTACCTGATTTGGAAGAAATAGCTTGTGTCTATATTCTGTTATTACATCACATATATGCTTATATTGTTTGAATGCCATTTAAGAATGCCATTTAAGAATACCCTAAGGAATATAACAGAAGAGACTCCTGGGTGGCTCAGTTGGTTAGGCATCCGACTCTTGATTTTGGGTCAGATCATGATCTCGGGGTGATGGGATTGAGCCCCACATCAGGCTCTGTGCTGGGCATGGAGCCTGCTTGGGGTTCTCATTTTCCTTTTCCCTCTGCAAACCCCCTCTCCCCCAATATATTTATGGGAAAAAAGGGCACTGAAAGGTAATCTGGAGTTTATAAACTGTGTAAACTGTTGTGAACTGTTTAACAGTTTAACATACTGATAAACAGTTTACTAAAGTCCATTAATTCTGATTTTATTACTATGCGGAGAGACTGGGATAGGAGGTTCACACTTTATGTTATCTAAGAAAAACATGTCACCAGAAACATAACATTGTTGGGAAGATTATACCTAGAAAAGCTTTTCAACATCTATTTTCTTTTACATATAACTACATGATTATCACAGATCCACCACTGTTTTGTCTGGCTTTAGATTCTTTACTTAAAATGCATTCTGGTCTTTATTAAAATTGAGCTACTAAGCAAAACCTGATTGGCCTTATTTCAGTTCTTAGGTATGGTGGGTTAAATTGTGAAAACTCTTTATTCTTAAATTTAAACAAAAATAAACAAAACCCCAGATTTTTTACTAATTCAAATAGTTTTGTCTTACTAGTAATTTGTCTTGTGATCTCTTGGTATAAAGACATTTTGTACTTAAAAAGAGAATGGATAACAAATCATATTAAGTGAGCATTATGTTGACTAGCCTAAGAAGCAAAACTTACTTGTTCAATTATGTTTTTTTCTCCCATTTCACTTTAGCTAGTCGTCTGGGATTGTATTCCAAAACGTCCCAGTCAGTCTCAGGAGAAGAAATAGATGCAATGGATGTCCAGCAGCTTTCACAAATAGTACCAAAGGTAGGCCTAAACTTAAAGCCTTTTAGATGGAAAGGCCTTGTTCTGAGTGTTACCATTTGTACTGTTACCTTCATGAAACAGACCGGGGGGGGCAGGAGCACTGGTTATTGATCCAGATCGTGATGAATCTTATCATTGAAGTCAGTCTCATCACTGAGAATGTTTACGATGTCTGAGAGTATTTGATCATTTTGAACACCAGAGCAGATTGTTAACTTGAGCAGGAGTCAGCTTTCCTCTGAGGAGGGTTCTATGGAGGTTAAGTGGTTGAATTGTCTTTATAAAGTACAGAGTGGTGAGAGACCATTACTTTGTATTTCTTACCCTTTTGTTTTAAATGTGACATGAGTATTAAATGCTTAAAAAAGAATTGAGGTATTGTTTACATACAGTAAAATTTACCCTTTTTAATGTACAGTTTTAAGTTTTGACAAATGCATGCAGTCTTGTAACCAACCACAATCAAGATATAGAACAGTTCCATCATATCCCCACATTCTCTTGTGCCTTTTATAGTGAACTCCTCTCTCTACTTTTAGTACTTGGCAACCACTGATTTGTTTTCTGTCCCTATCATTTTGCCTTTTCCAGAATGCTCTAAAAATGGAATCTCATAGTATGAGGCTTTGGATCTCTTTCTTCCATTTAGCATAATGCTTTGAGATTTATCCATGTTGGTTGTGTGTATTAATAATTTGTTCTTTCTTTTAATTGCTGAGTAGTATTCCAGTGTGTGAGTGAATGTTACTTGTTCACTGGTTTGAAGACATTTGTATTATTTCCAGTTTTTGTTGATCATGAATAAAGCTACTGTAAACATTTGTGTTTAGATTTTTTTTTTTAAAAGATTTTATTTATTTGATGGAGAGAGACACAGCGAGAGAGGGAACACAAGCCGGGGAAGTGGGAGAGGGAGAAGCAGGCTGAGCAGGGAGCCGGATGCGGGGCTCGATCCCAGGACCTTGGGATCAGGACCCAAGCCGAAGGCAGCCCCTTAACCGACTGAGCCACCCAGGCGCCCCTGTGTTTAGATTTTTGTATGAAAATAAATTTTCATTTCTCTTGAATAAATACTTAAGAGTAATAGCCGTGTCACATGGTTAATATAAGCTTAACCTTGTAAGAAACTGCCAAGTTGTTTTATAAGGTGGCTTTATTATTTTACATTCCTACCAGCAATGTTTGGAAGTTCTAATTGCTCTGCATTCTCACCAGCACATGGGATTGTCAGTTCTGCCACACCCCATTCTAATAGGTAGATAGTGTTATCTTCTTGTGGTTTTAATTTGCATCACCCTCACGATTGATGATGTTGAGTATCTTCATGTGCTTATTTGCCATTGATATATCTTTAGTGAAGTGTCTGCCCTGCCTGTTTTTAAGAAAATTGTGTCTGTTTTCTTAATGAATTTTGAGAGTTCTTTATATATTATAGATACAAGTCCTTTATCAGATATTCAATTTTGAAAATAGTTTTTCCTAGTCTGTGGGTTATCTTTTTATTCTGTTAGGACTCTTTCAGAGAGCAGGAGTTTCAAATTTTGATGAAGTCTATTTTATCATTTTTCTTTCTTTTATGGATCATGATTTTGATGTCTTCTCTAAGAATACTGTGCCTAACCCAATGTCACAAAGATTTTTTTTACCTATATTTTCTTCCAAAAGTCTTAATATTTTTAGATTTTACACTCGTTTGTGATCCATTTTGCATTTTTGTGTATGTATGTGAGAAATGGGTTAAGTTTCAATTTTTTGCATATGGATGTTCAGTTGTTGTTTCAGCACTATTTGTTGAAAAGACTTTTTTTCCTTTTAGTTTAAGCTGAAAAAAAAGACTGCTTTTTTTCTTTGAAATGCCTTTTTACCTTTGATTGTAATGCTTTTCTAGCAGATTATTTATAGGACAAGTGTCTCCTCTTCCCTAACACAGTAATTTCTTTAGAGCCTTCAGGTGTAAGATTATTTATTATCTTAGGATGCTTTGGGGGGTGCACTTCACAAAGCCTGATTTGTAGGTACATAGGTCCTATAGGAAGGGCCCCATAAAGGATAGGCAGCATTATTGTATCTAAGTTCTTGACAGTTCGAATTTCTTGTCCTTGTTGTTACTTGACCTATTTATGCACATATATTTGTGTAGTCTTTAAAATAAATGCTTATCATCTGACTTTTACTTTATTAGGCATATTCTACCTATTTGTTGACAGTAATAAAATGTGCTACCTTCTTCACTTATTTTACATTCAAAAGTGCAAGTTATATATTTAGGACACTGGATTTTCTTAGGTTATTTCCACATCTTAAAGCTTTTTATAATACAATTTTCTGATTAGAAAATTTATTCATTAGAGCGCTGTGAATTGTGTAAGACTGATGAATCACGGACCTGTACCTCTGAAACAAATAATACATTATATGTTAATAAAGAAAAAGAAAAAAGATAGTAGGAAGGGAAAAATGAAGGTGGGGGAAATCGGAGCAGGAGACCAACCATGAGAGACTATGGACTCTGAGAAACAAACTGAGGGTTCTAGAGGGGAGGGGGGTGGGGGGATGGGTTAGCCTGGTGATGGGTATTAAGGAGGGCAAGTATTGAATGGAGCACTGGGTGTTACATGGAAACAATGAATCATGGAACACTACATAAAAAAATAAAAGAAAGTATATGTTCATTGTAGAAAAACAAAACCTAGAAAAGTAAAAGCTAGAATGGAAACTGCCTGTAATACAGTCCAGATACTCAGAGGCTATGCATCCACAGAGCATCCAAAATAATAAAATAAATTAACCCATTTCTTTTTAAAAAAAATGTGTTTAACAAAACCTGGTTGAATAACACTTTATAGTGTTATAAACGTGAATATTCATTTAACATAATTTCAGCATTCCTGAAATCATTAGTGATTATTATAAAACATGTTTTTTAATTGATGCACAATATTTTGCTTGAGTATACTGTGTGTGTATAAACACACGGCAAATACATGGTTGTATAATCATTTTCTTGTTGAAATTTTAGCTCCCATTTATTTTTTGTTACTGTAAAAAATACTTCAAGGATATTAACAATAAGCAACCATTTACTATGTGCCAGGCAATGCATATATTACATACATTATCTATTTACTTCTAATAGCCATCTTATAAAGGATGGGCAGCCCCATTTTTACAGATGAGGACATTGAGGCCTAGAGAATTTGGGATACTTATTTGAAGTCTCAGAGCTGATGAGTGGTGGCAGTAGCATTGGGACTGGAGTCCAGGTCTTTGTTACTCTGAGGTCATCCGTTGCTTACTGATTCATTGTGAACATTATTGTACACGACTTTGTGCCCATCTCTGATTATTTCTGTAGAATAAATTCCTACAGGTGAAATGTTTGGACAATGACCAACACATTTATAAAACGCTTAAGATGTATTGGTGAAATGTCCTCTGAGGTTTTAGTTTATATTGCCACAACCTATGATGCTTCATACAGTAGCATTAAGTCCCTAGGCCTCCATCCTCATTTGTGGTTAGACCTTAGGTATAGTTACTAGTAGACATATACTGTTTTACTCGTTTATGTTTTCTGTTTCTCATGCTATAGTTACTCATGAATGCGGTTTTCTAGCATCTGGGAGCAGGATGGGCATTTGCTTTATTTTACATTTAGTGAGGAAGTTATTTCCATATTTGAGTGGGACTGTGTGCGTTGTGTGTGTGTGTCCTTTGCTGATAGTTTCTTCGTGACATTTATTTCTGAAATAAATTCTGTATTAGGTTACCCCGGGGGCATTGGGGCAGAGTGTACATTAGTAAATATATGTGAAATCTGCAGTTAATTAAACATTTTCCCATTAGACCTTTGTTCAACCTTTTCTTCCAAACCTATTCCCAGAGATGGTAACAAGTAGTGAAACTGACAGATTTGAAGTTTCATTTTATTTGCTTTCTTGGTTCATTCTCTAGGCTCTCTGATAAAAATGCTAATGAACTCTGGAAACCGACTTAAAGGTACTTAGAGAAGGAAGTAGCAAATTGCAAATTACAAATTATACCATGAGCCTGGACAAATTACATCTTTTCCAGATAAGAGTTTTTGTGCATTAATTATGGAAGATACCCTGATACTATACCAAAGAGACTAAAATAATGTAAAACCTAAGCCTTGTTAGAAGCTTGTTGAATTACTTAAAGTCATCCTACTCTAAAGAGGAATTCCATAAATACGAGGGCTTCCTTCCAGGTATTTCTTTTGAATACCTAAATCTTTTCTCCAAATATTATTAATGAGTTACTTTAGTTCTTTGGACTTAGCTGGACTCCCCTTTTCCCCCAACATTGTTTTCTTTCCCACTTCATCTTGTGTTTGTGGAACTCTCTTATAGCCAACATGTATACTTGTTCTGATGTTTTTACTTCATATCAGTTTAAATAGCTTTTCTTTTATTAGTGTTAAAAGCAAAAAACTTTTCTTCTAAATTGCCAGCTTGCTGAGATCTTCCCACATCTACTAAATTGCCTTAACTCTTTTCCTTATTAAAATGGTTTTTAGCTTTCTCTTTCCGTAATTCAGTCTTATTTCAGATCTAACATTGCTCTGTCCTATTGACTTAGAGCTAATTAAAGGGTAGTATGGAAACTGAATTTTGCTTAATATTTATAAAGTCCAACTGGGTGTTCTCATTGTTTTTTGTTTATGAATTCTTCCAGTGTGTCCTATATTTCCTAGTGATTAAAAGTGGACCTTCTGTTTTCTTCTTTGTTTTTTTATAGTAGTACCTCCAATTGTATTTCTACCAAACCTATTAACCAAATCTCTTTAATTTAATCCTAATCTGTGTGCTGTTTAATTTTTGGTTGGTTGTAAATATTTTATTTCAGTCACCTATTTTTTTTTTTTTTTCTGAAATGCATCAGGTATCTTATTATCTTTCCTGGAAGATTGGGGAAACTGTAGCAGGTTATTTTAATGCCAGGAACGTTTTTCATTAACCTCTCCTTTAATACTTTACTGTTTTATTCTTTTTAACACCCTTGTCTATCAGAACTCTGAGTGCTAACCACAAATATGACACTGAAAAGGCATGATAAGAGACAAATACATAGATTTTCCTCCCTTCTTTTGATGATTTTCATCTTTCCGATATTATTCCCTAAACACTCTCCTTTTCTGACAAAGTTCTACTTTTTTCACTGTCCTTTTACCATCCTGTCTTCATTCTGTCCTCTTCCCTCTTGCTCCCAAACTACAGAGATTGTATTGTGTGCTTTTACCTTTAATCAATATATTCTTTTTTTCTAGGTAGAGAAACAGATGATAAAGGTGAAAAGATTATGAATAGAGGAAATTCAGTTACCCCCAAGTTTAATCCTAGCTCTGTGATACAGTGATGTAGCTCAATCTTTAGTCCTTTCTGTTTTTTTGTTTTAAATCTCATTTCTTTAGGCCATAATTTTGTGTCACTAAATTTAGTGTTTTTAGTCAACTAAAAAGATTGACCTGCCCTTCTGATGCTTTAAGAACAGATTTTACTCTGTACCACATGCAAAACATCAGGTGAGTCTTCAGTTTTGCATTGAGATCTCCTTAGTCTCAAAACTGCTGCTCTAATTTTTGAGCTGCCACCAAAGCTTTGAAACGCTAAAAATCTTACATCAAATGGTAGGTATACGGGATGCATGTCAAGTAATTTGTTCCTGTACAAAAGAAATACGCTTTCAGTCCAACATTTGGCATCTTTGCTGCCATTGTCAGTGATAACCTTCAGTGACTATAATGGAATGATTTGCAGTGTTTCAAATGATTTGCAGTGGAACAAAGGCAAAATTTTACTCTGTTCAACCTGAGTATATTGGTAGTTAGCCTTTTATTTAAATATTCTGTAAAATCCGCAGTCTTTGCTAAACACTCTTGTACTTAAGCACTGTGTGCTACATGATTAATTTCTGCAGTAATGTAGAATTTTCACTTAGAAGACAACTAGTATACTTTCAATGCGTATGTAGTTTAGTCCTTTTTAAAGACACACTAAAGAGTCTGAGTGAATTTTTGAACTCTTTTTAAAAGGAAATATATTCTCCAAATACGAATTATGTGATTCATAGTACCTAGAGGACCTAAGCATATGTAATAATGTGATATTACAGTTAAATTGAGTCTTTTGCTTAAAAAAATAATCCTCATTTGTTTTAGACCTTTATTAAAATTGGGAAGAAACCTGAGAACAATCTATATGATGGTACTAAGAGTCATTCAATGATTTATTAATTCATTTTGTATGTATTTATGGAAGACTGAAGGTATAAGACAAAAATCTCTGCCTCCAATGGAACTTATAGTCTAAGATAAGTAAATATGTACATTATGTCAGATAAGTGCTAATGAGCAACAAAAGCAGAGAAGAGAGAGTGGAATGATTGAAGAGGTAGATTGAAATTTTTAGATAATATGACTAGGAAAGGCCTCACTGGCAGGCCATATCATATCTGAGGAAAGAGCACTCCAGACCAAGGGAACACAAAGGCAAAGACCTTGAAGTGAGTGTGCATGGCATGTTTCAGGAACAATGAGGAGGCCAGTGTAGGTGTAGTTCAGGTGACTAAGGAGGAAGGGGCATGCAGTTCATGCAGGACTTGGTAGGTAGTAACAGACTTTGGCATTCATTCTGAGGATAGGAAGTCATTGGAGGGTTTTGAGCAGAGGATGGATGTGATCTCATTTCTATTTTAACAATTTCATTATGGTCACTGTGTTCAGAAGAGACTGCAGGAGGCAAGGGCAGAAGTAAATCAGTTCAGGTATTGGCCCAGAGTGTTGGCAATGGGCTTAGAAGAAGGTGGTTGAATTCTGGATTGAGGATGGAGCCAATAAGATTTGCTGTTAAACTTCTTGTGGCTTCTGAGAGAAAAGGAGGAATCAAGGATGACTCCCCAAATTTAGAGCCTGAGTGACTACAAGGATGTACTTACCATTAGCAGAGGATGTGAAGGAGCATGTATTTTGGGAAATAATGGGTTCACTTTGTGATATTTTAAGTCTTAGACATCCAAGAGGAAATGTGGAATAGGTAGGTGGATTAATTTTATTGGTCTGGATTTTAGAAGAGATATGGGGCTGGAGACAAAAATGCATAATAATAAAATCTAAATCTAAGTCTGGATGAGATCACCTAGGGAGAAGTAGGGGATTCTTAGACCTCTTATAGAGGGGCCTTTAAGAACTAAGTTGTGGAGGGGCGCCTGGGTGGCTCAGTCGTTGGGCGTCTGCCTTCGGCTCAGGTCATGATCCCAGGGTCCTGGGATCGAGCCCCTCATTGGGCTCCCTGCTCCGTGGGAGGCCTGCTTCTCCCTCTCCCACTCCCCCTGCTTGTATTCTCTCTCTCACTGTGTCTCTCTCTGTCAAATAAATAAAATCTTTAAAATAAATAAATAAATAAATACTAAGAACAAATAATGCATTTATAAAAAAAAAAAAAAGAACTAAGTTGTGGAATATTTCAACATTTAGACTTCAGGGAGGTCGGGAGGAACCTCTACAAGAGGAGCAGCCAGAAAAGTAGGAGGAAGACCAGAGGAGTATAGGGTGGTCATGGAAGTCAAGCAAAGAAAGTGTTTCAGGAGGAGGGAATTGCCAGCTATGTAAGTGTGCTGCTGAGAGGTTAAGTGAGGGGAAATGACCATTGGTGGTAGCAATGTGGGTGGTCTTTGGTAATCTTGAATAGAGGTTTCAGGGCCGTGGTGGGGATGGATTCAGGAAAGAATGAGAAGAGAGAAATGGGAGACTGCAAGTACAGAGGAGTTTTGCTATGAAGAGAAGGGGAAAAGTAGGGTGGCAGCCGAAATGAGAAGGGAAATTTTTAGTTTTGTTTTTATTTAAATGGAAAAAATCACAGCATGTTACTGTTGGGAAAGATGCATCAGCAAGGAAAAGATTTTGATAGGGGGGAGAATTTCTGGAGCAATGATCTTAAATAGGTCCAAAGGTAGAATATTTGACCTGCACTAGGATCATATTCAGTTCATCTGTAATAAAAGGTGAGAAGGCAAGGATTGTGCCTGGATACAGGTACTGGTTGGTGGGAATTATGGAAATTCTCTTCTGCTTCTCTTTTCTTTGAAGTGGGAAGCAAGGTTGTCAGCTGGGACTGAGGTTGGAAATGGGAATAAATTGAAAGTATGAGGAGAGAAAACTTAGTATGAACTAATCCTCTAGGACAGTAGGGAAGAGAATGATGTATTATGCAGATATTAAAATCACCATGACTTGGAAGTGTTGTTGGAAAGAGTGACAGTGAGGAGGAAATTAAGTAGGTCATAGGGATGAAAAGTACAGCATAAAGAAAATAGTCAATAGTATTATAATAATGTATGGTGACAGATGGTAACTACACATATCATGGTAAGCATTGTGTAATGTACAAAACTGTTCAATCACTCTGTTCTACACATGAAACTAATACAACGTCACATTCGTTTAAAAAAATCTGAAAAAAATTTTGGGAAACGTGGGGGAGTGACCTAGAGCAGTGAATGAATGCCTGTAGTTAGTGGGAAGTCTAGTCTTATGTGACATTCAAAACTGGGGTTTTGTGAATAAAGAAAGGAGAAGCAAAGACACCTACCCCTGTCTAGGCTCTCCTGGTGGTGGTACTATGTGAAGGACTGTAGGGATGGCCTTGGTTTGTGAAAAATGAGGTTAGAACAATGTGGAAAAGTGGAGGATGCAGGGGATGTTGTAGATTCCTGCCTTTGGGGCACAGTGAAGGGGTATTAGGAGACCAGGAGATGGGATCAGTAAAGGGAATTAAATGCATGGTTTGGAGAGATACATAAACTGTTGGAGTTACAGTAGAAGAGAATCTAAAGAATTAACACGAATAAAAGAGAAGGAGCAGACAGTTAACACTCTTTAAAAACAACAACAATAAAAAGGTTCTACAAACATTGAGAAGCAGCTGTTCTTTATCTTTCCTGAAGACAGAACAAAGGGAAAAGGCCATTTTTGTTGTTTGCCAGTGTAATGAAGAAATAGATGCAAGAGAGTTTTTCCTTTCTCTGTCTCTGAAACATTTCAAGAATAAGGCTGTTTTCTCTTCAGAGCTTAAACATAATGGGATAAATTGGATAACTTGTTTAGATTGTATATTTCCTGTGGTACCATTGGAAAGTTTGAAATGACCATGTTAAATGAATATCTTAACAGACACATGGTATATTGCTTAAACTTGATCTCTACAAAGTAAGTACAGTAATTTAAAAAATTATTGTTACAAGTGCATGGGTTATTCTGATATTTCATATTGTTGAAGATTTTTAGTGTATCCTGTATTTTAACAGGTTGCGGTATTTTACAGAGCTAGTCCGAGGCATAAGATGAAAATTATTAAGGTGGGTCTTTAAGATTCACATTGTTTTATCTCTATCTCCAAAATGCTACTTTTCGTCTTTGATTATGCTTACATTACTAGGAATATTGATGTAACATTTTAAAGTCGGAAGTTTTGTGAAGCAAAAGATTTTTTTTTATATAGAACTTTACGTGGAAGCATTAATAGAGAATTTAGTTAGCAAAGGAAGATGTAGAAGAAAACTTTAATGAAGTATCTGCAACACAGCCTTCTTTAAACAACTGAACAGTGTAGACATATGTTCTGACAGGAGTCCATAGCCAAATCGTCCTAGTGTAAATAGCAGTAATTGCTTAGAAACTGAGTAAATACAACAAGAAAAGGAAATGTTATGAGAGTGGGAACAGTATTTCAAAGGTTTTGGTTATTTATATTAATCGGTTAAATATATACAAAGCAACTGACATAGTATCCATTAGTTAAAGGGCTTAAGTTCTTAATCACAGTAGTCCTCCATTGTATTAGTTTCTCAACCTTCACAACTATTGACATTTTGACATTTTGGACTGGATTCTTTGTTGTGATGGGCTGTCCTATGTGTTGTAGTATGTTTAGCAGCATCCCTGACCCCTACCCTCTAGATGCCAGTAGCATCCCTGAAGGCATGATAATAAAAAATATCTCCAGACATTGCCTGATGTCCCCTACAAAGCAAAATTGCCCCTGAGCGCTACTGCATAATTAACTCGAGATCAGACTTTAGACATAGCTCTCACACATGAGAATATTAATAGCAACTTTTTCTAAGCTTTATCTTAAGACCTCCATATATTGAAGTTTGTTGCAAAATCAGTGGTCTGTATTCTTTTCAATCTTTATTATGTGAAAAAAAAATAGGAGTTGTTTATCCCCTTATCTTTGTGGAAGCAATATTTTTACCAGAATCCCCTTTTCCCCCATTCTAGTCTCTACAAAAGAATGGGTCGGTTGTAGCCATGACAGGAGATGGAGTTAATGATGCAGTTGCTCTGAAGGCTGCAGACATTGGAGTTGCAATGGGTCAGACTGGCACAGATGTTTGCAAAGAGGCAGCAGACATGATCCTCGTGGATGATGATTTCCAAACCATAATGTAAGTTTTGTTTCAGTGAATGTACATCAGAGAATCTTTTCCCGTCTCTTTCTGCACCCCATCTCCAGACAGTTCAGCTGGAAAAGAATTGGGATATTCAGTGTATTAGGATATTCAGCATTGGATGAACTAAACTATTTTACCAGAATTAATTAATCTTATTTATGGCCTAATGTGTAGTTTTGGAGAATATTATTTGTATGGAAAGGACATAATAAATGGTAAAGTCATTCATTTAACAAATATTTACCAAGTGCAGCCAGATGTCACATTTTTCTGGCCACCAGCGGAGTGGTACAGCAGTAAACCTTCATGGGCCTTTATTCTGGTTGAACTCAGGCTATCAGAAATGTGCGTGTGCATGGCCTTACAATAAGTGTAAAAATAATCAAGTTTCCATCCATACTATGTATTTCCTTATGTCTGTAATTGTCCATGCTGTCAGTGATACAAGCTACTAAGTTTAAATAGCTTTGTCTCCTTCCGCCACTTTCTCATTGATGTAAGATTCTTCTGTGATACCTGGTCATGTCAGTAGCACAATGTTCAGGTGCGGGGGGGTCACTTGAATCGTGTTATTTGATAGGCACGTGTCCGATAACCTGGGTCTTCCTCAGTTCAGTGACTCATGCTGATTACATGCCTGGCATACTTCATTAACCCATGGTGGCCTAAAGTGGAGCATGTGGGAGCTCAGGACTCAGAATTGCCGTGGTCTTGTAGGCATATAAGTTTTTTTCTTTCCATTTTTAGAATTATATAGAAATCTTGAAAGAAAGGGGAAGTTGTTTAAAAAACACATATTTTCTAGATTCAACCAGATGAGAATTTATTTTTATGTTTATTTTTTTTAAAGATTTTGTTTGAGAGAGCGAGAGAGAGAGAGAGAGAGAGCATGAGCAGCAGGGAGGGGCAGAGGGAGGGGGAGAAGCAAACTCCCTGCTGAGCAAGGAGCCTGCCCCCGGACTCGATCCCAGGACTCTGGGATCATGACCTGAGCTGATGGCAGATGCAAAACTGACTGAGCCACTCAGGTCCCCCAAATGAGAATTTAAATGAATTTTTGTAAACCATATTCTTTATGTAATTCTGCTACAGCATATATCTGATTGTAGTGTTAAGCAATAGATAGCTTAAACTCTAGAATTCTTATATATCTTACTACCATTTAATTCCTGACATACATTAATTTAACCCCTTACCATGCATGCATTTTGTACCTTTTAGAAAAAGAAAATTGGAGGGGTAAAGAAGATCATTATTTTAGTATTATAAATGTGTAGTATTATCTCTTGTGTAGAAAGACAATGTATGATTTTAACGTTGAAATATCTTTAAGATAGTGTAATGAAATTAGTTCAGATAGAGCTTCACAGGCTTGACTTTCATTACATACCAGAATAATGTTTTTGTATTTTTTTCTAATCTTAATTATGTGAAGTAAATAATAGATTCTTTTAGTGATGTATGTTATATCAGTTGGAAATTTGTTTTCAGAATTAGCTCTACAGTGTTATAGGATAGATGGATCTTTATTTTTGTGTGATAATATTTCTCATTTAATCTTTTTTTAAATTTCAGGTCTGCAATTGAAGAGGGTAAAGGGATTTATAATAACATTAAAAATTTTGTTAGATTTCAACTGAGCACGTAAGTTTGTAAGAAGTTTGTCACCATGGGTTTTACAGATAAATTATATGAGAAATAGAATTCAAGCAGAATGCTTAGAAGCTTCTGAGCTCTATTTCTTTTTTTTTTTTTTAAGATTTTTTATATATTTATTCATGAGAGACAGAGAGAGAGAGAGAGAGAGAGAGAAGCAGAGGGAGAAGCAGGCTCCCAAGGAGCAGGGAGCCCGATGCGGGACTCGATCCCAGGACCCTGGGATCATGACCTAAGCCGAAAGCAGATGCTTAACCATCTGAGCCACCCAGGCGCCCCTGAGCTCTGTTTCTGAATGTTGTTCATATGTTAGTTTTCCATAATGAAAATTAATTCTATCCTAAAATTAAAAATGGCATGATAAAGAGATGATGTCTATATCATCATCAAAATATATAAATGTTTGTGGTTTATTTACTAGCTCCAGAAATAACTAAGGAAGGAGTGTCAGATCTTAGTATGTTTCCTTGGTGTCTTTTTCCAAAAGTAGAAAGGCTTTTCTGTAGTCAAAAAACATTTGCCAAAATACTGTTGAAACTGTTAACTGTTATGTAGTAACAGCTATTCTGAACTCAATTTTTAAAACCTTCCTCTGTTTGTTGTTATCTAAACATCTTGAAATCCTTTATTTAAATGCTACGGATTATAAAGTTTAACTTTTAGCTTCAAAATTTTCACACAAATGAAGCATAGGATACTCATAAATACAGACTTCCTTTAAAAGCACAGTAGTAAAATGAGATTTTCAAATGCTAAAGAAGAGATATCATAAAAGTAGTAAGAATTATATTATATAAAAGTAGTAAAAATTATATAAAAGATGCATTATCTTTTTTTCAACAGGAGTATAGCAGCATTAACTTTAATCTCATTGGCTACATTAATGAACTTTCCTAATCCTCTCAATGCCATGCAGATTTTGTGGATCAATATAATTATGGATGGACCTCCAGCTCAGAGGTAAGAGTTTTTTTTATCCATAAACTAGTAGAAGGACAAAGAAGTTGTGATATTTTGATGATTAAGTCTTATGATTTCATTCATGGATAGCACTGGAAATCTATTCATGCAGCAACATGTTTGTTATAAATTGTGTGATGGGTGCTTTTATCATTTATGCTCTTTGGGTGTTTGTTCACGTGTCACAGATCTTAAGCTTTTACATTATGTTAGATGCCCATTTGTAAGTTGAGAACAGATGAGGGAATGAATAGGTGCAGTCCCTGTCCTTAGGAAATAAGCTTTTGTCTCTAAGAATGGGATGTAATGGAGAAATCCTGAGTTTAGTTTTATTATTTGGGTTCTGTTGTCAATTTTAGAGACTTTGGGAAAGTATTGGAGGATCTAAGTATCTAAGTATTTTCTTCTGTAATGGGCCATAGATGTTGCTTTCCAGCAGAAAGAGTAATTGAGTGATACATGTCAATGGCCATTATAACAAATCATCCTAGTCAAAACCTCCTTGCATGAAAGGTATTTCAGAGTTTACTCAGTAGGTTACTATTTCAGGCCATATTTGAAATAAGTAAACTTACATGTAAATGAAATTGGACAATTTTTTTCAATTTGACCATCAATCTCCCATCAAACTATGCCAAATAGGAGTAAAATAGAGTAGGGTGATAAAATCCATGGTTATTTTCGAGTATTTATAGCCAATCTTTTCTTTAGGATTCAGCATTTTGTTTCCATAAGAAAGCATTTAATTTCCTGGATAATTGAGGTTAATGAGATTGTAAAAGTAAAAATCCAAACCTTAAAACTTTAAAGTGATTCACTTTTCTATTTGTTTTGAAGCCTTGGAGTAGAGCCAGTGGATAAAGATGTCATTCGTAAACCTCCACGCAACTGGAAGGACAGCATTTTGACCAAAAACCTGATACTTAAAATACTTGTTTCGTCAATAATCATTGTTTGTGGGACTTTGTTTGTCTTCTGGCGGGAGGTATAGTCACTGGATAAGCTGCCTTAATAGCATGCATTCTGTATGACTCAGTTATTTTGGTGTGTTACATGGAAGCTTGGAAAGTTAGGAGACCTTGTTGGAAAATATAAAAAAACATTTAAAAATAGTTTGATTTCAGTCTTTATGGGTTAAAAGAATTGCTGATTCATTTATTAGTAGTTTAAATCTGCAAAGATATCAGTACAATAACAATTAATATATTAATATTTGGGGAGTAATTAGAAAATCTGAGTCTATTGCTACTTTATTTCATCAGAAAAGAAAGTTGTTTTAATATCCAATATATGGTGTGTGAGAAGACTACTTTATTTAGATTATAGCTATTCATTAGTGACTTACTTAAATGGTGTATAGGAAATTTACGTAGCTTATATGTTTTATGTCTTAAGCTAAAGCTGTTTTATTCTAAAGCAAAGAAAATACTAACCTTTTACAAGCATGCAGTATTTGTTCATTAAATTCAGCCACTGATAATCATTTTTCTTCTTGATAGCTACGAGACAATGTGATAACACCTCGAGACACGACAATGACCTTCACATGCTTTGTGTTTTTCGATATGTTCAATGCACTAAGTTCCAGATCCCAGGTATGCTTAGGTGATCTTGGCTGACTGATTCAATTGATAGAGTTCTCTCTGATTGTAAGTAGGCAAGGATTGTGGGATTTTAGCTTTGCTTGATTTTGTCATCACAGATTATAGCCCCAGATACAGCCTTCCCTATAAACATGTACCTACAAACATGTCATAAGGGCAAATAGCCTTACCTTTGACCAGAAGATCCAATAAATCACAGGTGTCATCGCCTGGTCTTTCTTCTTTCCATTCTCTTACATCTGTAGCTTTAAGATAGGTTCAAGTTAATATTATCTGAGAGTATTGGACAAATGGGTTCTGTTAAGTTGGTATTAGTCTCATTTTAGAAGAAAGTATTGTTAGAAGTACAAGAACAATTTTATGCATATTAATGGTTTCTGATTACTTCTGTCAGTGTGTCAGAGCTTAGGACATTTTAAATTTGCTTTTCTTCCCATGTTGTATCTTAAGGTATGATTGCCTTTTCTTGATTGAAGTGTTTTCATAGAAAATTAATGGGCTGTGGGCTAGAACCTAGTACAGCTTTTTCAGAGCATAATTGTTCTTGAAAACTAGTTCCATTTTGAGGCCTGACTCTTCATTTCAATTCTAGAGCACCTTATAAATCCTCAATTATATCTGTTACCATTTAGCATGCTGGAACTTTCCAAGTCAATGAATTGTCATTAATTTAGACTAAGTTTTGGAGAGCCTGCAATATTCATTTTTTGTTTTATGAAAGGCAATTTTACATTTTTAGTACACATAACTAGGTCTATTTTTTAAGAAAGGCTTTTAGATTATCTAACTTAATGGATAGAAATGATTTAGCAAAATAATCATACAAATGAAGTTTCTGATGTTTTGAAATGCTAAAGTTTCTTTTCTTTCTGTGGTCTCTTGTTGATGTTGTTATTGTAGCATCACTCTTGTAGAGAAAGCTTTCTTAATAAAGAGAAGCTGCTTTAGGGGTGCCTTGGTGGCTCAGTCATTAAGCGTCTGCCTTCGGCTCAGGTCATGATCCCAGGGTCCTGGGATCGAGCCCTGCATCAGGCTCCCTGCTCCACGGGAAGCTTGCTTCTCCCTCTCCCACTCCCCCTGCTTGTGTTCCCTCTCTCGCTGTCTCTCTCTCTGTCAAAAAATAAAAAAAAAAAGAGAAGCTGCCTTAAATTGTACCTTTATTCCATGAATTATTCCAAAATAATAGTTAAACCGTTAAGAGATTTCATGGTATTGCCATTATGGTGTTCAGTCCAGTTTATTAAAAATTGGAGATGACTATGATAATAAAGAAGCTGTTTCAGTGACCAAGGAATAATAATTGAACTCTTTGCTCTGCCAACAGACCAAGTCTGTATTTGAGATTGGACTCTGCAGTAATAAAATGTTTTGCTACGCAGTTCTTGGATCCATCATGGGACAGTTATTAGTTATTTACTTTCCTCCACTTCAGAAAGTTTTTCAGACCGAGAGCCTGAGTATACTGGGTAAAGAAAATGTTATCTTTTTATAATTTATATATTTTAGATGAATTATTGTATTTTCTAATGCATTTGTTGGACTAAAAATTTCCTTTTAAAAAGAGATAAAAAAGTGAGTTGATTTGAAAAAGGAGTGTGTTCTGTTTTTTCATTTCGAGAAGTTTGTGGGGGTGGTCACTTGCTTAACGCTAGGCTTTAAAATTTTTTTGTAATTTTTTTTCTTGCAATTTTTTTTTCTTGGTTATAGCTGTCAAATTGTAGTTGCTGATTCTAAACTATAGCAAATGAAAACTTGTTATAGAGTAATTATAGTTTATAACTTTTCAATCTTATATGAAGAAAAAACTAGATTTAAGCTCACTGAAAACCAGGTTGCTCTTCTTTAAAATTACAATTTCAGTAAACTAATATTTTACTATTTTTACTTGCTAATTTGTGCATTCTTATTTTACAAAATAACAGCCTCACCCTAAAAGCAGAAAATACATTAAGATTATATGGAAGATAGACATTATTCTTTCACATACTATGTATTAAATGTATTATGATACATTTAAAAATTAATCTTCCTGTGTAAGGGTGAGGACTGATGTATTTTGTGGCAATGCTACTTTTAATTCTTGTGTTTTTAAGTTAATTGGGGTATTTATGAAAATAAGTTATACAGCCTCACTGTATTTTATGCTGCGAGTTACAATTTACTTTAAAGTTGAAATAGTTTAATTTCAGTTTTTTAATTTCATATTTACACTTGTTCCTCTTTTTAAAAAGTGGGGTCTTAAGGAGACAGCTGCAATTTTTCAAGCAATGAATAAGAATGAGATAGTGTGGATACTATTGTAAAGACATGGTCTTTATTTATTTTTAAATTTTAAGGAAAGGTTTTATTTATTTGAGAGAGAGCATGCATGCACACAAGTGGGGGAAGGGGCAAAGGGAGAGAATATCCAAGCAGACTCCCATGGAGCACGGAGCCCGACATGGGGCTTGATCTCACGACCCATGAGATCAGAACCTGAGCCTAAACCAAGAGTTGGACGCTTAACTGACTGAGCCACCCAGGTGCCCCAAAGACATGGTCTTTATTTTGTTTATTTATTTTTTAAAGATTTTATTTATTTATTTGACAGAGAGAGATACAGCCAGAGAGGGAACACAAGCAGGGGGAGTGGGAGAGGAAGAAGCAGGCTCCCCGCGGAGCAGGGAGCCCGATGCGGGGCTCGATCCCAGGACCCTGGGATCATTGATCTGAGCTGAAGGCAGACACTTAATGACTGAGCCAGCCAGGTGCCCAAAGACATGGTCTTTAAATGATGAGTTCTTCTAGGCTCTCGAATGGAATAGATAGAAATTGCTAAATAATCTTTAAATAGGCAGTTTTCAATCAAATTAAAATTAAAAAGACTGTGTGATCTATTAAATAGAAAACTCTTGCTTGTGTTGCTGTTAATAATTATGGTTATGAGGTTATGGTTCAGGGAGAGTAGTCAGAGCACTTGGGTTCTAGTTCTCTGGCAGCTGCCTTTTCTAGCTGTATGACTTCAAATAAGTCATTTTTGAGCCTTACTTCCCTCTTTTTTTTTTTTTTTTTTTTGAGTGGGCAGCAAAGCAAAATTTATTGAGCCATAGTATAAAGCTCCCGAAGAGGGAGGGAACCCAAGAGAGTTGCCCTTAACTTTCCTCATTTTTTAAACTGAGGCTGATTTTATGTACCTCCTGGAATGGTTGTAAAACAGTATTTTAAAAGCCCTGTTAAGATGCTAGGAAAATGCACCAGGGTGGCTCAGTCGTTAAGCGTCTGCCTTCAGCTCAGGTCATGGTCCCAGGGTCCTGGGATCAAGCCCGACATCGGGCTCCCTGCTCAGCAGGAAGCCTGCTTCTCCCTCTCCCACTCCCACTGCTTGTGTTCCCTCTCTTGCTGTGTCTCTCTCTGTCAAAAAAAATAAATAAATAAAATCTAAAAAAAAACCAAAAAGATGGTAGAAAAATGTAAGCTTTAAGCTTTGCATCTGTTTCAAAGAATTGTAAAATGCAACTTATTTTTTCTTGCAGATCTGCTGTTTCTTGTGGGTCTCACCTCCTCAGTGTGCATAGTAGCGGAAATTATAAAGAAGGTTGAGAGGAGCAGGGAAAAGATCCAGAAGCATGTTAGTTCGACATCGTCGTCTTTTCTTGAAGTATGATGCATATTGCATTCTTTTATTTGCAAACTAGGAATTGCAGTCTGAGGATCATTTAGAAGGGCAAGTTCAAGAGGATAATGAAGATTTGAGAACTTTTAAACTTTTCATTGACTAAAAAATGAGTGTTATGTTAAAGACTTGATTTGAGACTTTAACCTGCTGGCAGTCCCAAATGAAATTATGCAACTTTGATAACATATTTCTTGATTTAAATTGGCTTTTGAAATTGAGTGGAACTTTATAAAGCATATGGGCAGTTACTTAATTAAAAAAAAAAAAAAACGCAAAACCTGAACCACCTTCTGCACTTAAAGAGGTCTAACAATACAAATACACTATCTATCTTAGATAGATATTAATTTTTTTTAATTTTTAAATATTGTACTATTTATGGTGGTGGGGCTTTCTTACTAATACACAAATTCAATCATTTCAAAGGCATTCTATTGGTTTAGAAGTTGATTCCCAGGAGTGCCATATTTCAGCTACTGTATTTCCTTTTTCCTGCAATGTAAGCAGCTCAGACACCTTGTGTTACTGTTTTTGTATCAAGTTTTTTGCACAGGATGTGACCACTGTCAGATCACTGTTCTTTTCTTTCTTTTTGTGATTGAAAAGCCTATACTGCAATTTGAAGTAAATGTTTGCTTTTCTTAGTAAATGTAAATGGTTGCTTTTTTTTTTTTTTTAAGTTATGAGTCTTTGGTCTAGCAAAATTAATACAGGGTTATCAAGTGGCATTCTAGGTAGAGTAGCCTTGTCTGTAATTACCAGTTAGCCATAGAAACAAAAGTATTTAAGAGTGATTGGGCTGAAATTTATAACAGATTATATGAACATGTTAATGCCTCTTTTTGAGTTAAATATAAATATATACTTTGTCAAGTATCATTTTGTCATCCCTTAAATATAAATCCAGTCCTCACCTGAATAACTGAATTTTATTCTTCTTAATGTCTTTCTGTGTATATTTTTAGGTATCTTTCTTCGGAAGTATAGAATACTATACTTAATAAAAAAGCCCCAAACTCAAATAGATGGTTTATGAACCAGGGTATACGGGAAGACTCTGTGCTGGCCTTTCTCTTTGAGTATCTGCAGCTTCTTTGGCTTAGATTGCAGCACTACCCTGAGCATATACCTTCAGACTTCCACCATTTGTTCTCTGCCTTCTGTTGCACTGGGCATGCTAAGAGAAATAGTTGGGTTTACTCTCAGAGTCCCATCAGTTTTTATAATAGCTTGGTGAGGTGTAGGTAATTTTTTTTTTAGTGTGTTGTGGCAAATTTGGGCCAGAAATTCAAAATTAGAAATCCATTTTCCTATTGAATATTTCTCTCTGAAACAGAAATGGGTTTCAAATTCTTATATGTTTTATTCTTCTTGAAATTCATGAGTTTTGTATTTTATAATTATTCACCATTTTTTAAACTGTCAGCATAAACCACTCTCTAGTTTTTATCACCAATATTAACCTGCCAGTGTTAACACTGAAATATTGTTATTAATGATAGGGAAAATATCTATTCTTTGAGTCCTTGTAATTGAAACAGTTGAGTATAAGGAGCTGAGATGTCTGAAATTTATTCTGCTTTACCCTTTAAGGCTTAATAGTCAAATGTACATTTTTCTTATTAGAACTTAGAAACCGTTGTCTAGTCAACTTTATCTTTAATGACGTGATGTCTCATACCTAAATTTTGTATGATTTTTTTTTCTCTGTTACAAAGACTTGAAATATGTTATTAAGTGCATCAATCTTTTGCTTTCCATTTTAGGTTCAGAGTTTGACTCGTATGAAATAAATGTGCCTATCCTTTGATTTGGTTTTTGAACCAAAAGAAAAAATGATTTCTTTTCATAAGTTAATGACCTTCCAGTTGGGACCATTAACATTAAAATCTTATGGATGTAGAAGATACAGAAATTAGGCAGTACTCAAAGTGCATAGAATCTGTGATTTAAAAAGAAGTGACACGTACATACAGTACAGATATACTATACCCAGGTTTCAGTTTTCTGTAGTATAACAACAAATCAGAATATTTGTATATATATCTTCCATAGTATATCATCCAAATTAGTATAGATAATTTAAATATGCTAGTATCTAAATTTTAAATTTTTACCCCACTCCCTAGCCCTAGGACTTGCTAGAGTCCTTAATAATACTAACTTGTTTGATTTTTCCCTGTTAGCCTACCTCCTGAAGTTATTTGGTCACAAAGTGATTAAACATCTGGGAAGAAAAGAAAGGAACTTGAAATAATTCACCTAGGTAGATAATACCCAGCTGCAAAGAAACAAGGCTTAGCATGTTCTCTCACATTTGTACTGGGCATAGCATGACCCAAAGATGAAACAAAGTGAAACCAGACAACCTGAAACACCTCCCCTTCAGGATACAGGCTTCATCTCATAGCAGCAACCACACTCAGAACGCTGAAACACATTTTTTACCTTTTATACCCACGCAAGGTACATCTTTCACGTTCGTAGTCTTTCTGAAATCACTTTAAGTTTCCATCGCTGTTATATAGGACAAAAGTGAGTATTGGCCATACTCAAAATAGTTTTTCAGTGAAAAGAATTATTGGCAAACAATGTCATATCCAAGAACCTTAATTAACTTTACCTTGCTTTCTGCCTTTGTCACTTGGCAGTTCATGTACATTGCATGTGACTCAAGCAAAAACTTAGGTGCGTGAATTGTCATTTCAGTAAACTTTTACTTAGTACCTGGAGTTAGCTAGGAATAAAAAGGTGATGGCATCCCTGCCCTTCAAGAGCTCATGGACAAGGTTAGCAGGGCATAGAACTGTTAACAAGCTATTTCATGAAAGTTAGTAGTGGTCTTTGTACACTTATTTTAAAAATACACATACATTAAGATGAATCCAGCACACATTTTACTGAAAGTTTCCCTTGACACTGGCATTTGGAAATCTTTGAAATGCCTTTTTAGACTAAGCTACAGTCCAAACAGCTGATTTGTGTACTGAAATGTGTGGGTAAATACTCCAACTGGTATGTGACTGAACAATCAGATTATCCCATAATTAAGCTTCCTTGAGCTCAGTTAGAATTTGGTATGACTATTAATTCTTGTTAGACAACGTTTTTTTTGGTTTTGGTTTTCAGAGTTGGTTATTATTGATAATGGGTAATGGTTAACCAGTCCTTGATATTAATGTAGATAGAATAGACTGCAAATTATTGTTGTAGATTTAGATGTATAAAGCAGTAAGAGGTAGTATCTTGCCTTTGGGGAGTTCTCCATCTTAACCCTGGAGACCAATATGAAATACATTTGGCACAGTGGTAAATGCTGCCCCAAATGTTATCGTAGCTAAGGAGAGAAACAACTTCATAGGAGGAGGTTGTCAAAGAAATTTCCTAGAAATAGTAGCATCTGAATCAAACCTTAAGTTAGGACTCTCCAGCCTAGAAACAGCAGAATATTGCAACCAATTGCACAGCCTCTACAGAGGTGTTGGTGGAGGGCTGGAAGGAACAGGTGAAAACCACAAGGAGTTTGGGGGCAGTTAAGGCAGGAAGTATATAATGTGAGGGGTTTGACAGATAGGAAGGAGCCTAGTGGTGAAGGTAAAGACATTTGATTGGTGGCATACTGGAAGATTTCAGGAGTGTGATACGAGTTTGGATTTTTGTCTTGTAATACATTAATGGAAGCATGAAGGGTGGATTGTAAAGACAAAATAAGACTGATGAAGAGAATTGTAAAAGATTAAGTGGTAGAGGGACTAACTGAGCTGTGGCAGTCAGTATGGAAAGAAAGGCATGGCATATCTGTCTTCTAAGAGATAGTATTGACATGATCAGATGGGAGAAAAGAAACATGTGGAAATTCCCTGTTTTGGGCTTTCTGGCTTGGATACTAGAGCTGTTGGGAGAATTACCGAAGCTGAGCAGGCTTTAATGGGACACAGGTCAATTTGGAATTTAAGTTTGTGGTGTCCTTGAAATTTCCCAGTGGACATGTTAGATGAGATTTTAGCACAATACGATTTAAAGCCATGGCTGACAAAGTATAATGTAGGAAAATAAGTTCTTGTTACAGGCATTATCTATATTCTTTTGCTAAAAATAAAGCAGTAAATGAATATAAACTTGGCTTTGACAGAATAAAATTTTTTGGAAGTAGTTTTTTTAGTATAGTAATGTAAGATTCAGCAAACAAATTCAAAATGCAACGGGAAAAGAGGAACATTTCAGCTGCCTCTGTTACAGAGCTTTCAGAATGAATCTGTTAATTAAGATTACTAACTGGAAGGCACTGATCTGAATTATTGGGAGTGCATCTTTTTGATATTTGCAGTAAGACGCTCTCTTTAAGAGGTGAGAGAATATAGGCAAAGAAATGCATGGCTTAGACTGAAGTTTGCTGTGTGTGGAAATGTACTTAGTGAATGGCATTAAGGCTAGAAAGTAGCTGCTTGCTCTGAGAGATTTATGGCAGGGAATCAGAAAGCAATGTTTTGTTTTTTTTCTTTTCCATTTTAGTCGTAATTCTTCCTTGGATCTTTCTAGCCTTGTATCCCACACAGTGTTCTACACAATTGGATAGTATGTCTTCAACTTGAAAACCTTTTTCCTCTGCCTCAATTTTAAGAATTAGAATTTTTACTTGTTCTTCAAAACCCAGCTGAAGAGCCAACAAGCATGGCCTTTCCAGATTACTGTACAGGGGTGTGTGTGTTTGTGTGTGTGTGTGTGGGTGGGGTACAGTTTCTTGTAAATACTATTAAGAATAAACCCATTCATAAGTTTGGGCATAAAATTGTGGGATTTTTTTTTTTTTTTTTTAGAAAGCATTAGAAATTTAAGTCCAAGCCACTACATTGATTAATCTAGACAGAAATTTGATATTACCTTTCATTCAAAATAAGTTTAAGTGGTGAAATTTGGGGAGGAAAGTGAAAAATCTTTGAGCCATTAGTTTTGATCTTTGTAAATTCTTTTCTAATCTAAAT